TGAAGTTCTGAACCTCTGGCAAAGATAAGTAATAATTTTGTGAAGTTTCTTTAAAAAAAATCTAGCTGTTTCGTGCCAAGTCTTGTTTCTTTGGTACAAACCGGTACAAACTTTGTCAAAGGAATTAGTCTGTTGCTTCTGACCTTAATTTAGGCCTTTTTCAAGAGCTGCACATCTCATGAATTTGTGTTGTGATCTGTTGTAGTTCCTTGTGGTTTCAGTGTTGACAGACAAATCCCTGTGGGAAAAGAAAAAGCCCTCATTGTAGTGAGGGAGAGATTTTCTGATAGAGCTTGCATCTCAGTAGGCAAGAAAGAAATCTCCTGACTCTTAAGTGATGAGGAAAGGAAAATAATCCTTTAAAAAGAGCAGTGTCTTGCTGGGATAATGTTCACTGATGAGTCCTGGGGGGGTATCTCTTACTGATGCACCAGGTAAGCACAAAACTTCTCGTAAACTTCCAGAAATGGGGTGGCGGGGACAGGGTGGAAGATGGTACTGTGATAATAAAATTGTCTGACCTCAGAAACAGTCAAATACTGAGAAAATCTGAGCACAAAGTAGCCCAGAAAAGAGTGTGGGATTTTTGTCTTAAAAAACCACTGAAGAGTGTCGTTTACCAATTAACATACGAGTGAGAGAACTGGGTTAAGGAAACCTGATCAGGTAGACAGCCACTGTGGTTTCAGGCTTATTCTTTCATGCTTCCCCACTTGGAGAGAAGGTAAAAGTCTCTTGTCTTGTTTGTTCTGAGTGCTTTCTCGGGACAAATCCTCCTTAAGTTGTTTATAGTCCATCTTTCTGGTAAAAAGACAAATTCTAGCCTTGCCAGGGAGCTGCCCTCGTAGTAAGATCAAGAAAGTCAGGATGATTAAGACAAAATTCACTGCTAAATGGTCAAGAAAATATTAGGGCAAAAGAAATAAAGTAAATATCTATCTCTAAACTCTGGCATTTTAATTATGAAACATACTCGCTTGATATTAAGAATACTGATCTTGCAGCAACTTATGTGGAGTAGGTACGTGTGTGTATTCTCTGAAAGCACCTTATCTTTTGTTAACAAAAAAAAAATCTGTAGATTGCACTGCCAAATAATACTACTCGGGTTAGAAACTTATTAAAAAATACTACTCTGGTAATTTGTATTGTAGCTGCCCATTTGTCTCGCAGTCTTGTAACTTTACTGCTAAAAACTTCTGCAGAATAGAGATTTATCTGTTCTGAGCTTCCCTCCGTCATAAAGAAGATTGTGTGGTTGGGTCCTTTGCTCTTCATGTTAGTAAAATCCTTCTCCAAAATCCACCAAGCCTTAGTGTCCAAAGTGCTATCATCTTCCACCAGTGCTGTGCAGGCTCATCCCAAAAACCCACCTCCGGAGTCAGGGTTTGCCAAAGCTTAGCAGAAACGTTTTACATTGTGCCTTTTTACAATCTGTAGAATTCCTGCTAAAAAACAAAGCAAAAAACCAACCAACCAAACAAAAAAAAACCAAACAAAAAAGCCAAACCAGTGATGACTGCCTAAACAGGCCATGACTGTCCTTTTAGTGCTTGCTCAAAATCTTACAATCCCACAATCTTCTTGACCGTTGGAGCAGCAAAATGTAAAAAGCCAATGTCAGGAAGGGCGCTGTGAGAATAGGGAAGGTGCTGGGTTTATGTACATGGCCCTGAGACCAAGGAGCTGCTCTTTGCAAAGCCCAGGAACCCTGAAAGGTAAGCTGCTCAAAATGCATTAAATTCATTTCTGTCATAAAGGAAAGTATTTTATACATTAGGGCAGGAATTTTTCTCTGAACTGTGTAATCCTGGTGTCTTTAAAAAACAAACAGACGAAAAACCCTGAAAACATCAATATGGCACGCTTTTACTGCGGAATACAGAATATCCTGTTTGTCTGTTTGCTAGCATGAAATTATCAGCTTGATTTAATTAAATAAAAAAGCGTACAATTTATTCTTATAGCCTGGGAAACAAGAACTTGATCCTCAGCAGTGAGTATTTTCAGTACAAAGTCAACTCCCGTGATAAAGAATCGGAAGCTTCATGTGTAAAAGAGTTACATTTTGTCATTGACATCCCTTTTGAATCAGCCTTTTGAGAAGGATGAGGTGTGTGCTGGTAAAGGTTTGACTCTTTGTCCAAATTGCTGTTTGATCAGTTTTATCAACTTGGTGGCCTCGCTGCTCCCGGCTCGGGTCTCTCGCTGGCGTGTGGAGACATCTGCTGCCCAACTCTGAAAGTTGGCTTTGATCTGCTTGTGGAAGGCACTAGGGATAATGAAGCCGTTTTGTGCAGAGTAGTATTAATCTTTTTTCCCCTAAAGGTCAAGTCCAATGCAGCCTCTTCCAGAGATTCTCTATTTTTGGTGGCTATATCTGTGTAAAGTAATTGCAGGTGGTGTAGAAACTAATGATTTGTCTGGTATTTTCCACCATTAACTTCCAGCTTTGTGCTTGCAACTACTTTGTCGAGACTGAGTTAGTGAAGTGTCCCAGATCATAACTGCATCTTCAGAGCTAGGTTTGTCTCAAACAACTGTTATGTTAGTGAGGGCTGCTGGAAACTTTGGTTCTTCTCTGAGACTCACTGCTGTGATCAGGTCTCTTGACTGTAAAGAGGTTGGAGTGCAAACTTGCAGGGTATGAAATTGCCATCGTTGGGGAAGGTGGTAATAACAGCTTGGATAATAACCTCTTGGTGTTACCTCTGCAAGGTTGATTTGGCCCTGGAGTATGGGGAAGGACTTACCCAACCCTTAGGGTCCCTATCTGCTCTCTCCTAATGCTGTATCCTACAACCTTTGTGTTGCAGAAAGAAGAAGTGGAAGATAACACTGACGTGATCATGGAAGGGGCTCTGATAGCCCGGGACAGAGTGGTTTCAGGCTTATTCTTTCATGCTTCCCCGCTTGGAGAGAAGGTAAAAGTCTCTTGTCATGTTTGTTCCGAGTGCTTTCTCGGGACAAATCCCCCTTAAGTTGTTTATAGTCCGTCTTTCTGGTAAAAAGACAAATTCTAGCCTTGCCAGGGAGCTGCCCTCGTAGCAAGATCAAGAAAGTCAGGATGATTAAGACAAAATTTCACTGCTAAATGGTCAAGAAAATATTAGGGCAAAAGAAATAAAGTGTCTTTGTGACTGGAATTTTGTCCTACCGCGGGTGTCAGGTTCTCAGTAAGATGGCAAGTGACTTAATCTATCCTTTTATCCATAGGCTTTTGGAAACGCAAAAACTCTGCGTAATGACAACTCGAGTAGATTTGGGAAATACATGGATATCCAATTTGATTTTAAGGTGAGAACAAACTTAATGGACCGGTGTTAAAACAACTTGTATCAGTGAACCTCTTGGATGCTTACCAGGCAGCACAGGATTTATTAAGGCTTACACTGCACTTTTCTGACCCTATTTTTACAGGCGTTGCATTTTGTGAGTAAAGTTACTAGTTACACGTCCTGAAAGCTTCCTACATCACTGGCAATATTGCTGGCGCTCAGTAGACAGCTAATATAGATTGTTGTAAAGCACAAGTTGCACCAGAAGGACAGCAAACTCTTTAGATAAGGCTTGTGCTGTTGTCAGATACTAACTCTTAAACACAAGATGGCAGATGAGTAACAGCAGAAAAGTGAACGTGCTTCTCCTGACACTGCTCCTTGTTCCTCGGTGTGGAGGAACAGCCCTCACAATGATGTTGTTTGTATCTATGGGTGTTGATCTGACTGCTTTGTTCTGCCAGGGAGCTCCTGTCGGAGGGCACATCCTCAGCTACCTGATTGAGAAATCCCGAGTTGTCCATCAAAACCACGGAGAAAGGAATTTCCATATTTTCTACCAGTTATTAGAGGGTGGAGACAAGGATCTTCTTTGCTGGCTGGGGCTGGAGCGCAACCCCCAAAAGTACGCGTATCTCATCCAGGTCGGTGAGAGCTTGTCCCCCTCTCTCTGTATCTTACACCTAGAAGGGTAGGGATTGCAGATGCAGCTTTCCTCACGTCTTTAAAAAACAAACAGACAAAAAACCCTGAAAACATCAATATGGCACACTTTTTAGTGCAGAATACAGAATATCCTGTTTGTCTGTTGGCTAGCATTAAATTATCAGCTTGATTTAATTAAATAAAAAAGCATACAATTTATTCTTATAGCCTGGGAAACAAGAACTTGATCCTCAGTAGTGAGTATTTTCAGTACAAAGTCAACTTCTGTGATAAAGAATCGGAAGCTTCATGTGTAAAAGAGTTACATTTTGTCATTGACATCCCTTTTGAATCAGCCTTTTGAGAAGGATGAGGTGTGTGCTGGTAAAGGTTTGACTCTTTGTCCAAATTGCTGTTTGATCAGTTTTATCAACTTGGTGGCCTCGCTGCTCCCGGCTCGGGTCTCTCGCTGGCGTGTGGAGACATCTGCTGCCCAACTCTGAAAGTTGGCTTTGATCTGCTTGTGGAAGGCACTAGGGATAATGAAGCCGTTTTGTGCAGAGTAGTATTAATCTTTTTTCCCCTAAAGGTCAAGTCCAATGCAGCCTCTTCCAGAGATTCTCTATTTTTGGTGGCTATATCTGTGTAAAGTAATTGCAGGTGGTGTAGAAACTAATGATTTGTCTGGTATTTTCCACCATTAACTTCCAGCTTTGTGCTTGCAACTACTTTGTCGAGACTGAGTTAGTGAAGTGTCCCAGATCATAACTGCATCTTCAGAGCTAGGTTTGTCTCAAACAACTGTTATGTTAGTGAGGGCTGCTGGAAACTTTGGTTCTTCTCTGAGACTCACTGCTGTGATCAGGTCTCTTGACTGTAAAGAGGTTGGAGTGCAAACTTGCAGGGTATGAAATTGCCATCGTTGGGGAAGGTGGTAATAACAGCTTGGATAATAACCTCTTGGTGTTACCTCTGCAAGGTTGATTTGGCCCTGGAGTATGGGGAAGGACTTACCCAACCCTTAGGGTCCCTATCTGCTCTCTCCTAATGCTGTATCCTACAACCTTTGTGTTGCAGAAAGAAGAAGTGGAAGATAACACTGACGTGATCATGGAAGGGGCTCTGATAGCCCGGGACAGAGTTGGGGTGCAGGACTTTGTGCTTCTGGACTCCCACACCAGTGAGACTGCTTTCATGAACAATCTCCGCAAGCGGTACCAGGAGAACCTCATCTATGTAAGTGCTGGTCACGTGGATTCATGTGGCCTGTGGCCTCTGAAGGCAAGGCAGTGGTGAACATGGTGTCTGGCTTGTCTGGGAAGTGCTGGGTACCATTTTTTCAGCAGTCCCAAGGTTATACCTTGTCTTACAGCAGTGACCAGTGGTATCTAAACATGTCCTTTGTCAAATGAGGACTCATGTTTGTATAACATAAATGAAAAGAATTTAAAAGAAGGTAGAACAGGACATTTTGATGTGCTGAAAATGCTTACAAATAAGGGAAAATGTCCAAAAATGTGTTATTTGATCACCGTTCACAGTCAAGAAGGAGTTTCCTCTGTTGAACAGCTGTCTATGGAATAGCTGTCCTACTTGCCTTTCCTTCACAACAACAGTTACTGGTCGTTTCCAAAGATTTTTGTGGAACAGAGTTGGGATAGCAAATGCATTATTATGTTAACTTTAAGTAGGAAAAAAAAAAATCCATAAACATCATGAGATATCAGAGCCTTGTATGTAACAAGTAAGGTTCTAAGCTTGACGTTTTTTGTTCAACTCCACTCTTAACTGAGTAGATTTTGCAAGAAGTTTGGTGTTGTCTTCAAAGTAGTGGCACCTGTGGAGTTTGTTTGGTTTGCTTTTTTTTTTTCCCCCCCTTCTCTCATAACAAGTTCTGTACCATCTTTTCCAGTTGTTCTTGCATAATATTCTTGACTCCTCTTTTGGAAGCTGTCATTGTAGTGATGGAACAGGTTTCCCACCTGTATGCACTTTTTCTCCCTGCAGACATATATTGGCACTCTTCTTGTATCTGTCAACCCTTACAAAGAGCTGGATATCTACACAGTCACACAGATGCAGCTTTATCGAGGGGTAAACTTTTTTGAACTGCCACCTCATCTGTAAGTAGAACCCTTAGGATTTCAGTTTATATCAATAAATCGGGTTTTCTCTGTAATGCTGGGATGTGTATCCACAGTCACTAGGTCTGGTGAATGCTGATATTATCTTCCTGTAGGTAAGGATGTATTTGTCTCTGGCTTCTACCTGACTGTGAGAATAAAAGAGGAACAAAAGGGTTGCAGAAGTTGGTGTTGGGGAAACTGTAGGGGAAGAGTTATCTTGAAGATAACTGTCCAGGCTATTGCTCAGAGTGTTCTCATTACACATGGTCTGGTCAGACCACTGCTTGACTGTGTCCATGTGCCACTCAACATCTCTTCCTTTGGTTGTTCAAAACACTCTGATCATCTTCCTTTGTCCTCTGAGGCCCTGTGTCACTGCAGGCTACCACAGGGCTAGTAGAGTGCTCATGCACAGCTTCCACTTGGACTTCCCGGGAGGGGAAGAAACCTGAGTTTCTGAACTCTGAGCTGGATTTTTTTTTTTTTTTGGTGGTTAGAAGCTGTTGGGTGGAGATTTGAGTAGGTTTTCCTTTTTCTCTATTTTTTTTCCTTAAGTGGCATATTGGTGAAGGCTCTGCTATTGGTTATCTTTGTCTCTATCAGCAGAATTTGAGAACTACCCTGGAATCAAATCTGACTCCTCTGCTCTGGAAGGGGGAGTCTCCCTGCTGTGTATAAATTGTATTCACCAGGAATACACACAGCCTGTATAAATCCTACAGTGGGGGAAAGGAACAAGCCCCATCTGTCCCTCAAATACAGACTGGGTGTTTTTCCATGAGACCTTGAGTCAGTCTCATGTTTTGAGCTGTGCCTTCCCATCGTGTCCAATACTTGTCATGTCAGATGAGGAGTAAGGAATTCTGAAATTGCTTTGATACTCTGTCCCTGTTGCCATTTCTAACGGATGCTTCTCCTCTGAATGCTTCTTGTGGTCCCTGTTCAGATATGCCATAGCTGACAACGCCTACCGGGTGATGTGCAGTGAGTACAACAACCACTTCATCCTCATCTCTGGGGAGAGTGGAGCTGGGAAGACAGAAGCATCCAAGAAGATCTTGCAGTATTACGCTGTAACCTGTCCCACTACGGAGCAGCTGCAGATCGTCCGTGACCGTCTGCTGCTTTCCAATCCTGTTCTGGAGGTAAGAACTAATTAAAGGTACAAATTCCCAAAGAGCTGGTGTTGATGACCTCACTCCACACACCTTCGATGCAAGTCCAAACACCTGCACCCAGGAATGGCCTCCTGTTTTACATGATTTTGTGCCTGCATACATAACATAAATCATATACATCTGGCGTCTTGGCAGCACAACCTCTGAAAAAATGCTTGGGATTTAACATCATTTAATATCATTTAGAAATTAAACTTCGGTTTTATAGTGGGGAATAGCTGAAACCTGGGAGTGTGAGGAAACTGTGCACCATACAGCAGTTCCTTGTGGCTTCAGTTATGGGTCACAGAAGCAAGAACAACAGCTTGCTTAGCTGAATTCCACATTAAAGCTAGGGAAATACATTAGTTTGTATTTCTTTAATCCCATTAAATTCTGCAGGAGGACTCAGCTGATGCAGCAAATCTTTGTGACTGGAATTTTGTCCTACCGCGGGTGTCAGGTTCTCAGTAAGATGGCAAGTGACTTAATCTATCCTTTTATCCATAGGCTTTTGGAAACGCAAAAACTCTGCGTAATGACAACTCGAGTAGATTTGGGAAATACATGGATATCCAATTTGATTTTAAGGTGAGAACAAACTTAATGGACCGGTGTTAAAACAACTTGTATCAGTGAACCTCTTGGATGCTTACCAGGCAGCACAGGATTTATTAAGGCTTACACTGCACTTTTCTGACCCTATTTTTACAGGCGTTGCATTTTGTGAGTAAAGTTACTAGTTACACGTCCTGAAAGCTTCCTACATCACTGGCAATATTGCTGGCGCTCAGTAGACAGCTAATATAGATTGTTGTAAAGCACAAGTTGCACCAGAAGGACAGCAAACTCTTTAGATAAGGCTTGTGCTGTTGTCAGATACTAACTCTTAAACACAAGATGGCAGATGAGTAACAGCAGAAAAGTGAACGTGCTTCTCCTGACACTGCTCCTTGTTCCTCGGTGTGGAGGAACAGCCCTCACAATGATGTTGTTTGTATCTATGGGTGTTGATCTGACTGCTTTGTTCTGCCAGGGAGCTCCTGTCGGAGGGCACATCCTCAGCTACCTGATTGAGAAATCCCGAGTTGTCCATCAAAACCACGGAGAAAGGAATTTCCATATTTTCTACCAGTTATTAGAGGGTGGAGACAAGGATCTTCTTTGCTGGCTGGGGCTGGAGCGCAACCCCCAAAAGTACGCGTATCTCATCCAGGTCGGTGAGAGCTTGTCCCCCTCTCTCTGTATCTTACACCTAGAAGGGTAGGGATTGCAGATGCAGCTTTCCTCACGTACGAAGTGTGCTGCTGAGCTGCTGAGAGAACACACTGTGTCATGTTATAGTGAAACTCACAGGCAAGTTGGTCACAAACATACTTGCCCCAAAGCTGTCGTACATCGTTCTACCCTGGGTGCTTTTGTAGCAGGAACTCTACTTTTGTTGCTAGAACTCTGTTCTAGCTGTGATGGCCTAAGGATGCACATAAGTGGCTTATAAGGGATAATATCTCTTATTGAATCAGCTGATAATGGTTGTGGGGGCAGAAACAAGCTTTGGGGCAACATGACCCTGTGACAGCGAGGCCATTGGAGCTGAAAAAAGGTCCCTTTCACCAGGTCTTTATTAATTGTGTATTCCCTGTGTTCTGTGTGTGCAGAGCAGCCTACTGCTGCCATCCTCACTGCTGCTGTGAGAGTGTAAACGCTCTTAAGCAAGTGTCACCAAACCATTTGATGATCCTGGTCCCTCTGGTACAGTCAAGTCATGTATTGATTCATTGAGAAGAGTGGCCTGAGCTACTAAACAGCACAGTAGTAACTGTCTGCAAGCTACATTTCATATAAAGGCATCTTCTCTAAGGGCTCTGTATCAGAATTTGGTATAAAATGAGTTTCTCAGGATTTATGGACCTCACACAGAGGTCCATACATATGGTTATGCACTATACAGTTCACTTTGTGGTAATGCACTCAGTTTTCTTTCTTCCTTGGTAGTGAAGAATGATGGGGCAGAAGATAATATTACCATAAAAATGGAGGATGGCTGGAAGCTCAAACTCTTCACAAGACTTAGCCATTTTATGGTAATCACTATCCAAGCTCAATACTTTAAATTATCTGACAATTTAAGTATAAGCTGAAAGATCTGATCAAATGAGCCGCTTTGAGGATTAGCAGGGGTGAAATAAACTTGCTAACTAGTTGCAGACTGCATCTATACAGGCTGAGGAAACTGGAAATGAAAGTAGCATGCCCAGGTGCTGTGTTTGATAATAAAATTGCTTTGCCAATTAATTGTACTAATTTACCTTTCTTTTACTGTATAGGGTCGATGTGCCAAAGTGTTTTCTATTAATGACAAAAACGACTGGAAAATAGTCCGCAAAGCTTTTTCTATCATTGACTTTACTGAAAAAGATACAGAGGTATGTGTGGGAGAGGGACTGAGCCTACCAAAGGGAACTGAAGTGAGGAGCACACTGCTGTCTCTCCTTAAAAGCGATGGAAGCAGTCTTGCTTGGGAGAGGTGTTAAGGATGGGATAGGACATCATTTTGGGGGGATTGAGGGAGAAGTTGGGTGGGCGAAGAGCTCTATCACTTGGCACAGCATGATGGCAACTGGTGGCAGCACATCTCTGAAGCAGGTTGTCCAACTTGCCACCTTTGGCCGAGCCAACGTTCTGTTTATTAGCACGCGTAGGAAAGATTAGGACCATCTCATGGAGCTGTGGGAAGCTGTTTTCTAATGGTGTGTCTCTTGTTATTAGAATCTCTTTGGAATTGTTGCTAGCGTCCTGCACCTTGGGAACATCCAGTTTGAAGAAGATAGCAATGGGCATGCCATCATTCGTGATGGCACACAGATCAAATGGATTTCAAAGGTAACTTTTCTGAGATAATGTCAGTATTACAGGTGCTATTAAGAAAGCCTTGACGTTTCTGTGGGCGTTTAAGGGCAGACATGTCTGTTCCTAAAAGCAGAATGATTGCTCTGTAAATACCCAGCTCGTGATAACCTGTCTGGAGCTGTAGGGCCCCTTTTCTCTCTAGCACATCTCTCTGAAACTTCCTTACTTATTGTTGCTCAAAGATGAGTGTAACTGGGAAGGGACTGGGGGGGTTATACCCTACTGATCACACGATGCTGCTTATTTAAACAGTCTCCTGCTGGCCACGCTCTGAGTCCAAGTATTTCCTTCTCTGCAGCTACTGGGTGTGCACTTGTCCATTCTGCAGGAAGCTCTCACCCATCGGAAGATCGAAGCCAGATCTGAAGAGGTACCCAGTAGCTCTCTGGGACCCCAGGCAGCTGGGAGCCACCCCAGCCAGTGGTGACTGATGAGAAGCTCTGTTCTTTGCAGTGTTACAGTAAAACCAGATCACACTCTCCTCCATATCACCTTTCTCTTCTAGCCTAAAATGTTAAATTAAAACTTATTCCCCATATTAGAGACTTACTGCTGAAAGAGGTAGTATCTATTAAAAAAGCTAGGAAGAGGGACTTGCAGGCAGCCCTATGTTTGAGCCAAACAGCTTCCTTCTGTTCCATCCCTGGGGTGCTTCCTGGAAAACTGGCTGCACAAACAGAGGAAAGCACTGGGAAAAAACATTCTTTGAGCACTTGGTACCAAGTTTAATAATAAAACTAAAAGGAAGTCAGAATACTTTCCCCGCTTGTCTAAATTAGTCCTCTCCAAAACGTAGTTGCTGGTTTTTTTTTTTTTTTTGGTGGTTAGAAGCTGTTGGGTGGAGATTTGAGTAGGTTTTCCTTTTTCTCTATTTTTTTTCCTTAAGTGGCATATTGGTGAAGGCTCTGCTATTGGTTATCTTTGTCTCTATCAGCAGAATTTGAGAACTACCCTGGAATCAAATCTGACTCCTCTGCTCTGGAAGGGGGAGTCTCCCTGCTGTGTATAAACTGCATTCACCAGGAATACACACAGCCTGTATAAATCCTACAGTGGGGAAAAGGAACAAGCCACATCCATCCCTCAAATTCAGACTGGGTGTTTTTCCATGAGACCTTGAGTCAGTCTCACATTTTGAGCTGTGCCTTCCCATCATGTCCAATATCAGATGAGGAGTAAGGAATTCTGAAAAGCCTTTGATACTCTGTCCCTGTTGCCATTTCTAACGGATGCTTCTCCTCTGAATGCTTCTTGTGGTCCCTGTTCAGATATGCCATAGCTGACAACGCCTACCGGGTGATGTGCAGTGAGTACAACAACCACTTCATCCTCATCTCTGGGGAGAGTGGAGCTGGGAAGACAGAAGCATCCAAGAAGATCTTGCAGTATTACGCTGTAACCTGTCCCACTACGGAGCAGCTGCAGATCGTCCGTGACCGTCTGCTGCTTTCCAATCCTGTTCTGGAGGTAAGAACTAATTAAAGGTACAAATTCCCAAAGAGCTGGTGTTGATGACCTCACTCCACACACCTTCGATGCAAGTCCAAACACCTGCACCCAGGAATGGCCTCCTGTTTTACATGATTTTGTGCCTGCATACATAACATAAATCATATACATCTGGCGTCTTGGCAGCACAACCTCTGAAAAAATGCTTGGGATTTAACATCATTTAATATCATTTAGAAATTAAACTTCGGTTTTATAGTGGGGAATAGCTGAAACCTGGGAGTGTGAGGAAACTGTGCACCATACAGCAGTTCCTTGTGGCTTCAGTTATGGGTCACAGAAGCAAGAACAACAGCTTGCTTAGCTGAATTCCACATTAAAGCTAGGGAAATACATTAGTTTGTATTTCTTTAATCCCATTAAATTCTGCAGGAGGACTCAGCTGATGCAGCAAATCTTTGTGACTGGAATTTTGTCCTACCGCGGGTGTCAGGTTCTCAGTAAGATGGCAAGTGACTTAATCTATCCTTTTATCCATAGGCTTTTGGAAACGCAAAAACTCTGCGTAATGACAACTCGAGTAGATTTGGGAAATACATGGATATCCAATTTGATTTTAAGGTGAGAACAAACTTAATGGACCGGTGTTAAAACAACTTGTATCAGTGAACCTCTTGGATGCTTACCAGGCAGCACAGGATTTATTAAGGCTTACACTGCACTTTTCTGACCCTATTTTTACAGGCGTTGCATTTTGTGAGTAAAGTTACTAGTTACACGTCCTGAAAGCTTCCTACATCACTGGCAATATTGCTGGCGCTCAGTAGACAGCTAATATAGATTGTTGTAAAGCACAAGTTGCACCAGAAGGACAGCAAACTCTTTAGATAAGGCTTGTGCTGTTGTCAGATACTAACTCTTAAACACAAGATGGCAGATGAGTAACAGCAGAAAAGTGAACGTGCTTCTCCTGACACTGCTCCTTGTTCCTCGGTGTGGAGGAACAGCCCTCACAATGATGTTGTTTGTATCTATGGGTGTTGATCTGACTGCTTTGTTCTGCCAGGGAGCTCCTGTCGGAGGGCACATCCTCAGCTACCTGATTGAGAAATCCCGAGTTGTCCATCAAAACCACGGAGAAAGGAATTTCCATATTTTCTACCAGTTATTAGAGGGTGGAGACAAGGATCTTCTTTGCTGGCTGGGGCTGGAGCGCAACCCCCAAAAGTACGCGTATCTCATCCAGGTCGGTGAGAGCTTGTCCCCCTCTCTCTGTATCTTACACCTAGAAGGGTAGGGATTGCAGATGCAGCTTTCCTCACGTACGAAGTGTGCTGCTGAGCTGCTGAGAGAACACACTGTGTCATGTTATAGTGAAACTCACAGGCAAGTTGGTCACAAACATACTTGCCCCAAAGCTGTCGTACATCGTTCTACCCTGGGTGCTTTTGTAGCAGGAACTCTACTTTTGTTGCTAGAACTCTGTTCTAGCTGTGATGGCCTAAGGATGCCCATAAGTGGCTTATAAGGGATAATATCTCTTATTGAATCAGCTGATAATGGTTGTGGGGGCAGAAACAAACTTTGGGGCAACATGATCCAGTGACAGCAAGGCCATTGGAGTTGAAAAAAGGTCCCTTTCACCAGGTCTTTATTAATTGTGTATTCCCTGTGTTCTGTGTGTGCAGAACAGCTTACTGCTGCCATCCTCACTGCTGCTGTGAGAGTGTAAACACTCTTAAGCAAGTGTCACCAAACCATTCGATGATCCTGGTCCCTCTGGTACAGTCAAGACACGTCTTGATTCATCACACACAGCCTGTATAAATCCTACAGTGGGGGAAAGGAACAAGCCCCATCTGTCCCTCAAATACAGACTGGGTGTTTTTCCATGAGACCTTGAGTCAGTCTCATGTTTTGAGCTGTGCCTTCCCATCGTGTCCAATACTTGTCATGTCAGATGAGGAGTAAGGAATTCTGAAATTGATTTGATACTCTGTCCCTGTTGCCATTTCTAACGGATGCTTCTCCTCTGAATGCTTCTTGTGGTCCCTGTTCAGATATGCCATAGCTGACAACGCCTACCGGGTGATGTGCAGTGAGTACAACAACCACTTCATCCTCATCTCTGGGGAGAGTGGAGCTGGGAAGACAGAAGCATCCAAGAAGATCTTGCAGTATTACGCTGTAACCTGTCCCACTACGGAGCAGCTGCAGATCGTCCGTGACCGTCTTAGGACATCATTTTGGGGGGACTGAGGGAGAAGTGGGTGGGCGAAGAGCTCTATCACTTGGCACAGCATGATGGCAACTGGTGGCAGCATGTCCCTGAAACAGGTTGTCCAACTCGCCACCTTTGGCCAAGCCAACGTTCTGTTTATTAGCACGCGTAGGAAAGATTAGGACCATCTCATGGAGCTGTGGCAACCTGTTTTCTAATGGTGTGTCTCTTGTTATTAGAATCTCTTTGGAATTGTTGCTAGCGTCCTGCACCTTGGGAACATCCAGTTTGAAGAAGATAGCAATGGGCATGCCATCATTCGTGATGGCACACAGATCAAATGGATTTCAAAGGTAACTTTTCTGAGATAATGTCAGTATTACAGGTGCTATTAAGAAAGCCTTGACGTTTCTGTGGGCGTTTAAGGGCAGACATGTCTGTTCCTAAAAGCAGAATGATTGCTCTGTAAATACCCAGCTCGTGATAACCTGTCTGGAGCTGTAGGGCCCCTTTTCTCTCTAGCACATCTCTCTGAAACTTCCTTACTTATTGTTGCTCAAAGATGAGTGTAACTGGGAAGGGACTGGGGGGGTTATACCCTACTGATCACACGATGCTGCTTATTTAAACAGTCTCCTGCTGGCCACGCTCTGAGTCCAAGTATTTCCTTCTCTGCAGCTACTGGGTGTGCACTTGTCCATTCTGCAGGAAGCTCTCACCCATCGGAAGATCGAAGCCAGATCTGAAGAGGTACCCAGTAGCTCTCTGGGACCCCAGGCAGCTGGGAGCCACCCCAGCCAGTGCTGACTGATGAGAAGCTCTGTTCTTTGCAGTGTTACAGTAAAACCAGATCACACTCTCCTCCATATCACCTTTCTCTTCTAGCCTAAGATGTTAAATTAAAACTTATTCCCCATATTAGAGGCTTACTGCTGAACGAAGTAGTATCTATTAAGAAAGCTAGGAAGAGGGACTTGCAGGCAGCCCTGTGTTTGAGCCAAACAGCTTCCTTCTGTGCCATCCCTGGGGTGCTTCCTGGAAAACTGGCTGCACAAACAGAGGAAAGCACTGGGAAAAAACATTCTTTGAGCACTTTGTACCAAGTTTAATAATAAAACTAAAAGGAAGTCAGAATACTTTCCCCGCTTGTCTAAATTAGTCCTCTCCAAAACGTAGTATCACAATCCTGCTGGCTTGTGGCCGTACACCAGCCTGAGGTGACACTGATGGTAAATAAAGTTGTAGGCAGCTACAGTTAGGTAGGCTGAGAGCTGGGCTGTGGTATAAGAGAACATGGCTCATTCTCCAACCACAGGTGTGAATTGGCTTTGCAGGAATTTGACCAGCTGTGGTGTTTATCATCTCTGGCATATCTTTATTTTTAGGTCCTGAGCCCTCTGAATGTGGATCTGGCATTCTACGCTCGGGATGCAGTAGCAAAGGCGATTTATGGACGAACTTTCACTTGGCTGGTCAACAAAATTAACGGCTCTCTAGCCAACAAGGTTGGTTTCTTGTCTGGTATCTTCCCAGACACTGAGTGCTCCTGACATGCTGAGCAGTTTCTCTGGGGAAGGTCCTACAGCACTCACCACCAAATATCTTGGTTGCTTGATAACTGGTGTAGGGGAATGCTGCAGCATTGAGCTGGAAAATGCTTTAGTTGGGTATGGAAGGTGGTGTGTTTAAGAGTTTTAGCAGTTCATTGCCTGCCTTAAAGTGGCTGCTCCATTGGCATGTGATACAAAGCTGTCGAAGGGAAAGCTTAACATTTAGGTGAAGGATGCAACATGAAACATGCAGGGGAGAAGCATGAGCTGAAGCAGCAATTACAGAGCAATAATATCTTTAACAGGATTCAACTCGGAAAACAGTTATCGGCCTGCTGGATATCTATGGGTTTGAAGTGCTGGACACAAACAGGTAAGGGCTGTTCCTGAGGCTTGGGGTGATCTGTCCTTGTGCTGGTGGGGCCATGTGCTGAAGTCTTATGTGGCTTCTGGAGTGTGGTCTCATCCCAGCAAGGCAAGCTACAGGTGGCTGCCAAATCTGAGGGCACTGGGCTAGGGAAAGCCCCTGGAGAAAGCTCCAGCTTGGGCTGCCTGCCTGGATTTGAGCCACTGGCACAACAGTGTGGGAGGAATGGGTGGCTTTGATCTGGATCAAAGTGGGCTGTCTGGCTGGAAAACTGTAGTGGTAAACTGTAACAGTGGTAAAACTATCCATGCAATAAATGAAAAACTAATCCTCATTTAACCACTCTGAAGCTTTGAGCAGTTCTGCATTAATTACTGCAATGAGAAGCTCCAGCAGCTGTTGATTGAGATGACCTTGAAAGCAGAGCAGGAGGAGTATGAACTGGAAGGAATAGAGGTAATTTATTATGTTCCCCCTCCCTTTTTTCTTTGAACTGCCATTACACTGGATGCTTTTGATCATCAATGAAGATGGCATCCTGTTTTTTTCTTCTTCAGTTTGAATTGATAAGGTCACAACACTGATCTTTACTGGGATTGGAATCTGGCTCCAAACAACTTAAAAACTTCAAGGCAAAGATCTTCCTCTAAAACTATTCATCCTTTTATTTTCCTTTATTTCCAGTGGGAACCAATTCCTTATTTTAACAACAAGATCATTTGCGACCTGGTTGAGCAGAAGCATAAAGGAATAATCTCCATTCTGGTAAGAGTTTGTGCTACTTAAATTAAAATGCCTGCCTGTTCCCTACTCTAATGGTCCATAATTGTATTTTTTCCTCTAATTATGTGAAGGGTCTGCATTATTCAGAATGTAAACAAATAGATATTGTAAACAAGGTCCAGAAGATTGAAGATTAGAGGATCTGCTTGCTAAAGAGCTGTGGGTTTTAAAGGAGTTGTGCTGCTTCTACAGAGACTCTGAGTGCTTGAGAAGGCAGACCTAGGCTATTCTCTCTACTTTTTGCCTGGAGACATGGAGAGATAGAAGGAAGGTACCTGCAGCAACCTGGCTGGCTTTAGTCAGCAACAGGAATGGGACCCAGCTTTCTTCTGAGTATTGTTAGGGAGACTGCAGAACACCAGGAGTACTTCTTCATGGCCACCTGAAGCCTTACAAGAGACCTCCAGGCTCTTGTAAAGATGAAAGAGGACAATTCATCCCATCTATCTGCTTACATGACTTTCTTGTTTTAATCTCTGACACTTCAAAGGGGCTCAGATAGGAGAGGAAACCTAAGAGCTGCCTACCTCCTCCTGGTCTTCCTCTTGTTTCCTTGCCCTTTAGTTGTTACTGCTTCTAAAATACCGATCTGAAGTTGTGCCTTCAAAGGGATGGCAGGAGAAATGGGAGAGGCTGAAGGCAGCTCTTTCCAGAGCTTTGAGCAAGGAGCTTGTTCTGCAATGGTGTGTAACGCTTCTTGCTTTGAAAAGTGGGGAGAAGTTTGAGCACTCAAGCTACCACAATGATACTTTCTTGAATGCAAACTCTAATTAGTAAGAAATCTAGTAATCTTCCTGTAGAGATCTGTAGCCACACTTGAAGTTGCGTTGTTCCATGCCACTACTCTGACATGTCCACAAAGCCAAGAATTTTCATCACTTCGTTACAGGAGACAGAAATTAGTACATCGTAATCCAGAGAAGGTGCTGCTGAAGCTCAGCATTAGCTTCACATTGCAATGGGTTGCTCTTTCAAGCGGGGCTTGTTGTGTTTTTTGGGTCAAAAAAGGGTAATCTTTAAGCTTGTCTCCCCCCTCCAACTCTGTGATTCATCCAGACCGAGAGTCCTGCAGATCCTCCTGAATTTTGGTGTCTAATGATGTCATCTTTCTCATTGTTTTTGTTTAAGTGAACTACAAATAATAAAAATAATAGACAGTTTGGAAGAAAAAGGCAGATCTGACTGGATTTATCTTGATACTTCTACTGAAAACAGATAATCGAAGCTTTAAATTTAACTGGGAAATTGCCTGTATAAACCAGACCTCGCCTCAAATTGTATCCAAGCTCTTTGGTTTTGCATAATGAAGTTTGTAGTCTGTTCAGAGCAGCATTTGATGGAGTGCCTGCTGTTCCAGGATGAAGAATGCTTACGACCTGGGGAAGCAACTGATCTGAGCTTCTTGGAAAAGCTGGAAGAGAAAGTAGGAGATCATGCCCACTTCGTGACGTATGCATTTACGCTCTGTATCCTACTGCAGACGAGACTCTTCCCATCTCTTACCCATAACAGAGCATTGGGGAGGGAACATTTTTTGCTTTACACCAAAGAAAATCAAGCAGCCCAGCCAGTTTACCCATAACAGAGCATTGGGGAGGGAACAATTTTTGCTGTACACCAAAGAAAATCAAGCAGCCCCAGCCAGTGTCTAACGTTGAAATGTGCTACACTGGTGGAGTATGTTCTAGGATATTGGGGAGGTGGTGGTGTGGGGATTCCTGTCTCTTTACTAGGGTGATGCTGATCTTTGAGTCTGATTTCATTCCATATTAAAATTGGGGACTAAAGATTAGATGGCTTTGGCCATGGGTGGCTTTGTCCCCCACTGACTCCAGGGGAAGCAGAAGATACTGTGAAGAGGAGTCTAATGCCCCAGGCTGTGGGGGGCACATAAACGTTTTTCAAGAGTCTATCTGGGTATGTGAGAGCTTTAGGTAGGAAGAGGAAAGAAGCATGGTCCTGCTCGTATCTCCCAGATGAGTGGTGTTTTGGTTCATACTCAATTTGTGGTATTTTTGGATGTGGTTTTGGTGGTAGATGAACACGTTGGTGCTGGGCTGTTCTGGCAGTTCCCAGCAGACGCCTGCTGAAGGGCTTTGACAAGCCATCAATTCTGAGTCACGCTGCTGAATTGTCACCCTTCCTACAGCTCTGAAGTTCATCACAGCCAAGTGGAAAATTTGTAGCCAACTTCCTTGTCACCACAATGTGCCTTAATACTGTTCTGCCTGATTAAAAGCTTTAAATAGAAGTGCTAGAGCTACTTAAATGGGATCTGTACTTGGCGATGCTCTTGGAAGGAAATTTTGATGTACTAATGTGCTGTTGTGACACACAACTCTGCTGTTAGTGACTGCTTACAAAGCTGAAACTTAAACTGTTAAGTTGCTCTTTTATTTTTTTTCTTTTCCTTTTTTTTCCCCCCCAGGAGTCTATGCTTTCTAAATTTTTCCTGCTATTCTTGAAAATTTTGATTTCTCCTTTGTATTTGGGTTCTTGTTCTAAGCCAAAATATCTCCAACAATCCTTCCCTTCCCTCCCCACCCCATTTTCACTTCAAAATTGAGGAAGCTGGTGATCTTTTTCTCATGTAGGCAGCGAGAATGTGTTTAAATTAATGTTATATGAGGAAATCTTAACAGTTCTGGAAAGGGTGGTCGTTGCCAAGTGGTGGGGATGGGTCACAGATATTTTGAGGAGTTTGTGGTAACTGACTCTTTTCAGCTTTTTCAGCTGACAGGGAATTTTGCTGTTAGCTGTTCCCAATGGACAGATAGATGATAATTCAATTATAGGCCATAACTGCGTAGTCAGAGCCATGTTGATAGAACAAACATTAAATAGACTCCCAGCTCTCTTATGGCTGCTTTTTGTGCAGGTGACTTTTGATAAGCTAAGGAAGCCAATTTGCTGCTTTTTCTCTTGTTGGGTTCTTTTTTTCCCCCCCGCAGTCGCAAGCTGGCAGACCAGAAGACACGGAAATCGATTGACTGGGTGGATTTCCGCCTCCTCCACTACGCAGGAGAAGTCACTTACTGTGCTGTTGGTGAGTGTGAACAAAGTACCAGCCTAGAAGTTACCTGAGCTTTTGAGCCAATGTGGTAGTTAATAGCTTGGTGTGAAGATGAAATACAAAATATTTGCTCTCTGAAGGTGCTAAAATCTTAAACATGAGTGCAGCGGATATAAATTGAGGATATAAATTTCCAGCTTTTGTGTTAAAGCGTGTAGCTTTCAAAAGGAATTAAACCTTGGGATGTTGTTTTATTTTTCTTCAGGATTTCTGGAGAAGAATAATGATCTCCTGTACAGAAACCTGAAAGAGGTAAGAACAGAAAAAAGGCTCCTAAGTTACCTTGCTTGAAGTAGTGATGTTTGCAGGTGTATTTAATCTCTGTAGCAAACAACATGTATTTCTCCTGAGCAATGTTCTTTAGGCACCTCCATGCATGTCCTTACAGCTGTGCTGCTTGAGCTTAGAAGCCTGACAGTAGGAATAGCTGCCTGCTAAATAAGGCAGCTTTTCCTTTACCCTGTTTCAGGTGCTGTGCAACTCTAAAAATGCCATCATTAGAGACTGCTTTTTACTGTCAGAGCTCGACAACAGGAGGAGACCAGAGACTGTGAGTTTCATCTTTAGTCTGAATATATAAACTCAACTTCCCAAGTCTTGATTTAACCACCGATTGCATCCTTGGTCCTAAATTCAGTGGTTTATTTTTTCTTTTGCTGGTGTTACACCCCTGCTGGCATCCTGGTGGTTGAACAGGGATGTCGCTGAGGCAGCAGCTACCGATCTGACATAACTTAATGTTATTATTAATGCATTCTTCTAAAACAAGCCTTGTGCCCAGCATCCAATAGCAGTTAGCTTCTGAAGGGCTGCCTTGCGTGTCCAGCTGCATGGCAGGGGTTCAAATATTCCTGCTAAGCACAATGTCCAGGTAACTTATGATTTAACTGTGCTTCAATAGTTTTGTGCTACTACTGCATATGTCAGCCTTTTACTTAACATCTTAGTTTTAAGATGGGTGCAGGGAACAAGTTGACTTCAATTACTGCAGTGCTTGAGTTCCAAAGGCAAGAAACTTCTTTCAATTATGTCTTAGGTTGCAACCCAGTTCAAAAACAGTCTGATGAGCCTCATAGACATCCTGATGTCCAAGGAGCCTTCTTATGTCCGATGCATTAAACCGAATGAGAACAAGGAGCCTGGTAAGACATTGGGCTGAAGGCACAGCTGGGATAAAGGAGGGAGATTTTAGCTTGTAGCTAGGTACAGCAGATAAAATACATATATTTTATATATATACACATTATACATAGATTAAATACATATATATTTCTTGGTTAAGCTAGCAGCAAAGTCATCACCTTGGGTAACAGGATTTGATCCCTTCTTTATCTGTCCCAAGCTAGCAGCAAAGTCATCACCTTGGGTAACTGGATTTGATCCCTTCCTTATACATGAACAAGTGAGTTGAGCTTCCACAGCCAGTGTTTTCCAGTGACTACGTATGTCCTTACTACAGGGAAGTTTGATGATTATCTGATCCGACATCAGGTGAAGTACCTGGGACTGATGGAGCACTTGCGGGTGAGACGAGCCGGCTTCGCGTATCGGCGGAAGTATGAGCTCTTCTTGCAAAGGTGAGCAGAGCTGTTCTGCCATCAGCCAGGTGAACCTGCCCTCTCATGAGGGCTTCAGAGCAAGGTTTGCTTAAATATCAAGTCCTGGTGATACGAGGTGTCAGCAGACAGGTGGTTTTTTTTGTCTGTATGCACTTTGATCTGCTTTGGCATCTTCTGCCTTGAATAAAGCAGTAGGAATCTTGAGGGGAGAGCTTCAGGAAGGGAGTTCCTGAAATGTCAAGTCATTTGTTTTGATGTCTTGCTGATCTTTCAGGTATAAATCCCTCTGTCCAGCTACTTGGCCACATTGGCATGGCCCAGCAGCTGAGGGTGTGGAGAGGCTCATCAAGCACATTGGTTACAAGCCTGAGGAATACAAATTAGGAAGGTAAATTTCCTTTCTCTGGCTGTGATCTCTGCTGGTCAGCTGCATGGTGCTTGCCATATTTGATCTTCTGTCTGTGACTGCCCTTCCCAGAGAGCTGCAAGACCTGGTGGTGGGAACTGATCCCTTTAGCTGGGCTCTTGCGTGACCATGTGAACTGGGTGGACCTGCCTGGGTCTGCAAACCTGATGGATTCTGATTTGTGATTTAGTTAAAACAGCCTAAAGTAACCTCACCCCAAAGGTATAGCGTGCACAGGAGCAAGGAGACAGATGAAAAGCCTGGATGCATAAATTTCCTCTATATTTTCCCCTTCCTGTTTCCATGGAAGCTCGAGTACAGCTGAGTTTCTTCCACCTCTGGATTAGGGGAGGTGGGCTGCCTTGCTTCAGCTCCATGTCTCCCTGCTTGCTTGGCCACAGGCAACTTGCCCGTCTTTGGCTTGGGTTCTTTTCTTAACTGTCCTCTGTAACCACTCCTGAACCACAGCCATGTCCTCCTTGCCAGGGCGTGGGGCAGGGCAGGGCTCTCTCATGTCACCTTCAACCTGTGAATGTCAGAATCCATGAATTAGGGCAGCTGAAACCATGGCTCACTGTGAATAAGCTGTTCATGGTCTCTTTTTCAGGACCAAAATATTCATTCGGTTCCCAAAGACCCTGTTTGCTACTGAAGATGCGTTTGAATTCAGAAAGCATCTGTTGGGTATGGTTCCAGTTCCCTTTGTCTGTCTGTAACTAAGAAGCAGAGCCTGGGTGAACTGTGTTTCTGGGCTCCAGGTTTGTGCAGCAGATGCACCATGGTGAGAGCTGAGCCCCCGATCTGCGTCGCTCAGGAGAGTCCAAGGAGAACTTCATAATCTTTTCCAGGGTGGGGAGAAATCATGAGCTATATTGCTTGAGTTCTAGACGTGTATCTCCTTATGTTTCCCCTGGAATTGGGATATACCACCCATCTCATCCTAGTGTTAGCTGTTTGGGGCTGCCTAAAGGCATGTTTACCTGTGCAGGCAACTTTTGGTCCTATTGGTGTTTTAGCCCTGTTGTTCCTTGGTGATTGTGCAGACCCTCCTGTGCCTTGGCATGTGGTGTCTGATTGCTGGGAGCACAGCTCCTGGATGTTCTGATCCTGTAGATATGAGCAATGGGCTGGATTTTTTTTTTTTTTTGGTGGTTAGAAGCTGTTGGGTGGAGATTTGAGTAGGTTTTCCTTTTTCTCTATTTTTTTTCCTTAAGTGGCATATTGGTGAAGGCTCTGCTATTGGTTATCTTTGTCTCTATCAGCAGAATTTGAGAACTACCCTGGAATCAAATCTGACTCCTCTGCTCTGGAAGGGGGAGTCTCCCTGCTGTGTATAAACTGCATTCACCAGGAATACACACAGCCTGTATAAATCCTACAGTGGGGAAAAGGAACAAGCCACATCCATCCCTCAAATTCAGACTGGGTGTTTTTCCATGAGACCTTGAGTCAGTCTCACATTTTGAGCTGTGCCTTCCCATCATGTCCAATATCAGATGAGGAGTAAGGAATTCTGAAAAGCCTTTGATACTCTGTCCCTGTTGCCATTTCTAACGGATGCTTCTCCTCTGAATGCTTCTTGTGGTCCCTGTTCAGATATGCCATAGCTGACAACGCCTACCGGGTGATGTGCAGTGAGTACAACAACCACTTCATCCTCATCTCTGGGGAGAGTGGAGCTGGGAAGACAGAAGCATCCAAGAAGATCTTGCAGTATTACGCTGTAACCTGTCCCACTACGGAGCAGCTGCAGATCGTCCGTGACCGTCTGCTGCTTTCCAATCCTGTTCTGGAGGTAAGAACTAATTAAAGGTACAAATTCCCAAAGAGCTGGTGTTGATGACCTCACTCCACACACCTTCGATGCAAGTCCAAACACCTGCACCCAGGAATGGCCTCCTGTTTTACATGATTTTGTGCCTGCATACATAACATAAATCATATACATTTGGCGTCTTGGCAGCACAACCTCTGAAAAAATGCTTGGGATTTAACATCATTTAATATCATTTAGAAATTAAACTTCGGTTTTATAGTGGGGAATAGCTGAAACCTGGGAGTGTGAGGAAACTGTGCACCATACAGCAGTTCCTTGTGGCTTCAGTTATGGGTCACAGAAGCAAGAACAACAGCTTGCTTAGCTGAATTCCACATTAAAGCTAGGGAAATACATTAGTTTGTATTTCTTTAATCCCATTAAATTCTGCAGGAGGACTCAGCTGATGCAGCAAATCTTTGTGACTGGAATTTTGTCCTACCGCGGGTGTCAGGTTCTCAGTAAGATGGCAAGTGACTTAATCTATCCTTTTATCCATAGGCTTTTGGAAACGCAAAAACTCTGCGTAATGACAACTCGAGTAGATTTGGGAAATACATGGATATCCAATTTGATTTTAAGGTGAGAACAAACTTAATGGACCGGTGTTAAAACAACTTGTATCAGTGAACCTCTTGGATGCTTACCAGGCAGCACAGGATTTATTAAGGCTTACACTGCACTTTTCTGACCCTATTTTTACAGGCGTTGCATTTTGTGAGTAAAGTTACTAGTTACACGTCCTGAAAGCTTCCTACATCACTGGCAATATTGCTGGCGCTCAGTAGACAGCTAATATAGATTGTTGTAAAGCACAAGTTGCACCAGAAGGACAGCAAACTCTTTAGATAAGGCTTGTGCTGTTGTCAGATACTAACTCTTAAACACAAGATGGCAGATGAGTAACAGCAGAAAAGTGAACGTGCTTCTCCTGACACTGCTCCTTGTTCCTCGGTGTGGAGGAACAGCCCTCACAATGATGTTGTTTGTATCTATGGGTGTTGATCTGACTGCTTTGTTCTGCCAGGGAGCTCCTGTCGGAGGGCACATCCTCAGCTACCTGATTGAGAAATCCCGAGTTGTCCATCAAAACCACGGAGAAAGGAATTTCCATATTTTCTACCAGTTATTAGAGGGTGGAGACAAGGATCTTCTTTGCTGGCTGGGGCTGGAGCGCAACCCCCAAAAGTACGCGTATCTCATCCAGGTCGGTGAGAGCTTGTCCCCCTCTCTCTGTATCTTACACCTAGAAGGGTAGGGATTGCAGATGCAGCTTTCCTCACGTACGAAGTGTGCTGCTGAGCTGCTGAGAGAACACACTGTGTCATGTTATAGTGAAACTCACAGGCAAGTTGGTCACAAACATACTTGCCCCAAAGCTGTCGTACATCGTTCTACCCTGGGTGCTTTTGTAGCAGGAACTCTACTTTTGTTGCTAGAACTCTGTTCTAGCTGTGATGGCCTAAGGATGCCCATAAGTGGCTTATAAGGGATAATATCTCTTATTGAATCAGCTGATAATGGTTGTGGGGGCAGAAACAAACTTTGGGGCAACATGATCCAGTGACAGCAAGGCCATTGGAGTTGAAAAAAGGTCCCTTTCACCAGGTCTTTATTAATTGTGTATTCCCTGTGTTCTGTGTGTGCAGAACAGCTTACTGCTGCCATCCTCACTGCTGCTGTGAGAGTGTAAACACTCTTAAGCAAGTGTCACCAAACCATTCGATGATCCTGGTCCCTCTGGTACAGTCAAGACACGTCTTGATTCATCGAGAAGAGTGGCCTGAGCTACTAAACAGCACAGTAGTAACTGTCTGCAAGCTACATTTCATATAAAGGCATCTTCTCTAAGGGCTCTGTATCAGAATTTGGTATAAAATGAGTTTCTCAGGATTTATGGACCTCACACAGAGGTCCATACATATGGTTATGCACTATACAGTTCACTTTGTGGTAATGCACTCAGTTTTCTTTCTTCCTTGGTAGTGAAGAATGATGGGGCAGAAGATAATATTACCATAAAAATGGAGGATGGCTGGAAGCTCAAACTCTTCACAAGACTTAGCCATTTTATGGTAATCACTATCCAAGCTCAATACTTTAAATTATCTGACAATTTAAGTATAAGCTGAAAGATCTGATCAAATGAGCCGCTTTGAGGATTAGCAGGGGTGAAATAAACTTGCTAACTAGTTGCAGACTGCATCTATACAGGCTGAGGAAACTGGAAATGAAAGTAGCATGCCCAGGTGCTGTGTTTGATAATAAAATTGCTTTGCCAATTAATTGTACTAATTTACCTTTCTTTTACTGTATAGGGTCGATGTGCCAAAGTGTTTTCTATTAATGACAAAAACGACTGGAAAATAGTCCGCAAAGCTTTTTCTATCATTGACTTTACTGAAAAAGATACAGAGGTATGTGTGGGAGAGGGACTGAGCCTACCAAAGGGAACTGAAGTGAGGAGCACACTGCTGTCTCTCCTTAAAAGCGATGGAAGCAGTCTTGCTTGGGAGAGGTGTTAAGGATGGGATAGGACATCATTTTGGGGGGACTGAGGGAGAAGTGGGTGGGCGAAGAGCTCTATCACTTGGCACAGCATGATGGCAACTGGTGGCAGCATGTCCCTGAAACAGGTTGTCCAACTCGCCACCTTTGGCCAAGCCAACGTTCTGTTTATTAGCACGCGTAGGAAAGATTAGGACCATCTCATGGAGCTGTGGCAACCTGTTTTCTAATGGTGTGTCTCTTGTTATTAGAATCTCTTTGGAATCGTTGCTAGCGTCCTGCACCTTGGGAACATTCAGTTTGAAGAAGATAGCAATGGGCATGCCATCATTCGTGATGGCACACAGATCAAATGGATTTCAAAGGTAACTTTTCTGAGACAATGTCAGTATTACAGCTGCTATTAAGAAAGCCTTGACATTTCTGTGGGCGTTTAAGGGCAAACATGTCTGTTCCTAAAAGCAGAATGATTGCTCTGTAAATACCCAGCTCGTGATAACCTGTCTGGAGCTGTAGGGCCCCTTTTCTCTCTAGCACATCTCTCTGAAACTTCCTTACTTATTGTTGCTCAAAGATGAGTGTAACTGGGAAGGGACTGGGGGGGTTATACCCTACTGATCACACGATGCTGCTTATTTAAACAGTCTCCTGCTGGCCACGCTCTGAGTCCAAGTATTTCCTTCTCTGCAGCTACTGGGTGTGCACTTGTCCATTCTGCAGGAAGCTCTCACCCATCGGAAGATCGAAGCCAGATCTGAAGAGGTACCCAGTAGCTCTCTGTGACCCCAGGCAGCTGGGAGCCACCCCAGCCAGTGGTGACTGATGAGAAGCTCTGTTCTTTGCAGTGTTACAGTAAAACCAGATCACACTCTCCTCCATATCACCTTTCTCTTCTAGCCTAAGATGTTAAATTAAAACTTATTCCCCATATTAGAGGCTTACTGCTGAACGAAGTAGTATCTATTAAGAAAGCTAGGAAGAGGGACTTGCAGGCAGCCCTGTGTTTGAGCCAAACAGCTTCCTTCTGTGCCATCCCTGGGGTGCTTCCTGGAAAACTGGCTGCACAAACAGAGGAAAGCACTGGGAAAAAACATTCTTTGAGCACTTTGTACCAAGTTTAATAATAAAACTAAAAGGAAGTCAGAATACTTTCCCCGCTTGTCTAAATTAGTCTTCTCCAAAACGTAGTATCACAATCCTGCTGGCTTGTGGCCGTACACCAGCCTGAGGTGACACTGATGGTAAATAAAGTTGTAGGCAGCTACAGTTAGGTAGGCTGAGAGCTGGGCTGTGGTATAAGAGAACATGGCTCATTCTCCAACCACAGGTGTGAATTGGCTTTGCAGGAATTTGACCAGCTGTGGTGTTTATCATCTCTGGCATATCTTTATTTTTAGGTCCTGAGCCCTCTGAATGTGGATCTGGCATTCTACGCTCGGGATGCAGTAGCAAAGGCGATTTATGGACGAACTTTCACTTGGCTGGTCAACAAAATTAACGGCTCTCTAGCCAACAAGGTTGGTTTCTTGTCTCATGTCTTCCCAGACACTGAGTGCTCCTGACACGCTGAGCAGAGTTTTTCCAGTGAAGGTCCTAGAGTGCTCACCACCAAATATCTTGGTTGCTTGATAACTGGTGTAGGGGAATGCCACAGCATTGAGCTGGAAAATGTTGTAGTTGAGTTGGAAGGTGGTGTGTTTAAGAGTTTTAGTAGTTCATTGCCTGCCTTAAAGTGGCTGCTCCATTGGCACGTGATACAAAGCTGTCGAAGAGAAAGCTTAAAATTTAGGTGAAGGATGCAACATGAAACATGCAGGGGAGAAGCATGAGCTGAAGCAGCAATTACAGAGCAATAATATCTTTAACAGGATTCAACTCGGAAAACAGTTATCGGCCTGCTGGATATCTATGGGTTTGAAGTGCTGGACACAAACAGGTAAGGGCTGTTCCTGAGGCTTGGGGTGATCTGTCCTTGTGCTGGTGGGGCCATGTGCTGAAGTCTTATGTGGCTTCTGGAGTGTGGTCTCATCCCAGCAAGGCAAGCTACAGGTGGCTGCCAAATCTGAGGGCACTGGGCTAGGGAAAGCCCCTGGAGAAAGCTCCAGCTTGGGCTGCCTGCCTGGATTTGAGCCACTGGCACAACAGTGTGGGAGGAATGGGTGGCTTTGATCTGGATCAAAGTGGGCTGTCTGGCTGGAAAACAGTAGTGGTAAACTGTAACAGTGGTAAAACTATCCATGCAATAAATGAAAAACTAATCCTCATTTAACCACTCTGAAGCTTTGAGCAGTTCTGCATTAATTACTGCAATGAGAAGCTCCAGCAGCTGTTGATTGAGATGACCTTGAAAGCAGAGCAGGAGGAGTATGAACTGGAAGGAATAGAGGTAATTTATTATGTTCCCCCTCCCTTTTTTCTTTGAACTGCCATTACACTGGATGCTTTTGATCATCAATGAAGATGGCATCCTGTTTTTTTCTTCTTTAGTTTGAATTGATAAGGTCACAACACTGATCTTTACTGGGATTGGAATCTGGCTCCAAACAACTTAAAAACTTCAAGGCAAAGATCTTCCTCTAAAACTATTCATCCTTTTATTTTCCTTTATTTCCAGTGGGAACCAATTCCTTATTTTAACAACAAGATCATTTGCGACCTGGTTGAGCAGAAGCATAAAGGAATAATCTCCATTCTGGTAAGAGTTTGTGCTACTTAAATTAAAATGCCTGCCTGTTCCCTACTCTAATGGTCCATAATTGTATTTTTTCCTCTAATTATGTGAAGGGTCTGCATTATTCAGAATGTAAACAAATAGATATTGTAAACAAGGTCCAGAAGATTGAAGATTAGAGGATCTGCTTGCTAAAGAGCTGTGGGTTTTAAAGGAGTTGTGCTGCTTCTACAGAGACTCTGAGTGCTTGAGAAGGCAGACCTAGGCTATTCTCTCTACTTTTTGCCTGGAGACATGGAGAGATAGAAGGAAGGTACCTGCAGCAACCTGGCTGGCTTTAGTCAGCAACAGGAATGGGACCCAGCTTTCTTCTGAGTATTGTTAGGGAGACTGCAGAACACCAGGAGTACTTCTTCATGGCCACCTGAAGCCTTACAAGAGACCTCCAGGCTCTTGTAAAGATGAAAGAGGACAATTCATCCCATCTATCTGCTTACATGACTTCCTTGTTTTAATCTCTGACACTTCAAAGGGGCTCAGATAGGACAGGAAACCTAAGACCTGCCTACCTCCTCCTGGTCTTCCTCTTGTTTCCTTGCCCTTTAGTTGTTACTGCTTCTAAAATACCGATCTGAAGTTGTGCCTTCAAAGGGATGGCAGGAGAAATGGGAGAGGCTGAAGGCAGCTCTTTCCAGAGCTTTGAGCAAGGAGCTTGTTCTGCAATGGTGTGTAACGCTTCTTGCTTTGAGAAGTGGGGAGGAGTTTGATCACTCAAGCTACCACAATGATACTTTCTTGAATGCAAACTCTAATTAGTAAGAAATCTAGTAATCTTCCTGTAGAGATCTGTAGCCACACTTGAAGTTGCGTTGTTCCATGCCACTACTCTGACATGTCCACAAAGCCAAGAATTTTCATCACTTCGTTACAGGAGACAGAAATTAGTACATCGTAATCCAGAGAAGGTGCTGCTGAAGCTCAGCATTAGCTTCACATTGCAATGGGTTGCTCTTTCAAGCGGGGCTTGTTGTGTTTTTTGGGTCAAAAAAGGGTAATCTTTAAGCTTGTCTCCCCCCTCCAACTCTGTGATTCATCCAGACCGAGAGTCCTGCAGATCCTCCTGAATTTTGGTGTCTAATGATGTCATCTTTCTCATTGTTTTTGTTTAAGTGAACTACAAATAATAAAAATAATAGACAGTTTGGAAGAAAAAGGCAGATCTGACTGGATTTATCTTGATACTTCTACTGAAAACAGATAATCGAAGCTTTAAATTTAACTGGGAAATTGCCTGTATAAACCAGACCTCGCCTCAAATTGTATCCAAGCTCTTTGGTTTTGCATAATGAAGTTTGTAGTCTGTTCAGAGCAGCATTTGATGGAGTGCCTGCTGTTCCAGGATGAAGAATGCTTACGACCTGGGGAAGCGACTGATCTGAGCTTCTTGGAAAAGCTGGAAGAGAAAGTAGGAGATCATGCCCACTTCGTGACGTATGCATTTACGCTCTGTATCCTACTGCAGACGAGACTCTTCCCATCTCTTACCCATAACAGAGCATTGGGGAGGGAACATTTTTTGCTTTACACCAAAGAAAATCAAGCAGCCCAGCCAGTGTTGAAATGTGCTACACTGGTGGAGTATGTTCTAGGATATTGGGGAGGTGGTGGTGTGGGGATTCCTGTCTCTTTACTAGGGTGATGCTGATCTTTGAGTCTGATTTCATTCCATATTAAAATTGGGGACTAAAGATTAGATGGCTTTGGCCATGGGTGGCTTTGTCCCCCACTGACTCCAGGGGAAGCAGAAGATACTGTGAAGAGGAGTCTAATGCCCCAGGCTGTGGGGGGCACATAAACGTTTTTCAAGAGTCTATCTGGGTATGTGAGAGCTTTAGGTAGGAAGAGGAAAGAAGCATGGTCCTGCTCGTATCTCCCAGATGAGTGGTGTTTTGGTTCATACTCAATTTGTGGTATTTTTGGATGTGGTTTTGGTGGTAGATGAACACGTTGGTGCTGGGCTGTTCTGGCAGTTCCCAGCAGACGCCTGCTGAAGGGCTTTGACAAGCCATCAATTCTGAGTCACGCTGCTGAATTGTCACCCTTCCTACAGCTCTGAAGTTCATCACAGCCAAGTGGAAAATTTGTAGCCAACTTCCTTGTCACCACAATGTGCCTTAATACTGTTCTGCCTGATTAAAAGCTTTAAATAGAAGTGCTAGAGCTACTTAAATGGGATCTGTACTTGGCGATGCTCTTGGAAGGAAATTTTGATGTACTAATGTGCTGTTGTGACACACAACTCTGCTGTTAGTGACTGCTTACAAAGCTGAAACTTAAACTGTTAAGTTGCTCTTTTATTTTTTTTCTTTTCCTTTTTTTTCCCCCCCAGGAGTCTATGCTTTCTAAATTTTTCCTGCTATTCTTGAAAATTTTGATTTCTCCTTTGTATTTGGGTTCTTGTTCTAAGCCAAAATATCTCCAACAATCCTTCCCTTCCCTCCCCACCCCATTTTCACTTCAAAATTGAGGAAGCTGGTGATCTTTTTCTCATGTAGGCAGCGAGAATGTGTTTAAATTAATGTTATATGAGGAAATCTTAACAGTTCTGGAAAGGGTGGTCGTTGCCAAGTGGTGGGGATGGGTCACAGATATTTTGAGGAGTTTGTGGTAACTGACTCTTTTCAGCTTTTTCAGCTGACAGGGAATTTTGCTGTTAGCTGTTCCCAATGGACAGATAGATGATAATTCAATTATAGGCCATAACTGCGTAGTCAGAGCCATGTTGATAGAACAAACATTAAATAGACTCCCAGCTCTTCTACGGCTGCTTTTTGTGCAGGTGACTTTTGATAAGCTAAGGAAGCCAATTTGCTGCTTTTTCTCTTGTTGGGTTCTTTTTTTCCCCCCCGCAGTCGCAAGCTGGCAGACCAGAAGACACGGAAATCGATTGACTGGGTGGATTTCCGCCTCCTCCACTACGCAGGAGAAGTCACTTACTGTGCTGTTGGTGAGTGTGAACAAAGTACCAGCCTAGAAGTTACCTGAGCTTTTGAGCCAGCGTGGTAGTTAATAGCTTGGTGTGAAGATGAAATACAAAACATCTGCTCTCTGAAGGTGCTAAAATCTTAAACATGAGTGCAGCGGATATAAATTGAGGATATAAATTTCCAGCTTTTGTGTTAAAGCGTGTAGCTTTCAAAAGGAATTAAACCTTGGGATGTTGTTTTATTTTTCTTCAGGATTTCTGGAGAAGAATAATGATCTCCTGTACAGAAACCTGAAAGAGGTAAGAACAGAAAAAAGGCTCCTAAGTTACCTTGCTTGAAGTAGTGATGTTTGCAGGTGTATTTAATCTCTGTAGCAAACAACATGTATTTCTCCTGAGCAATGTTCTTTAGGCACCTCCATGCATGTCCTTACAGCTGTGCTGCTTGAGCTTAGAAGCCTGACAGTAGGAATAGCTGCCTGCTAAATAAGGCAGCTTTTCCTTTACCCTGTTTCAGGTGCTGTGCAACTCTAAAAATGCCATCATTAGAGACTGCTTTTTACTGTCAGAGCTCGACAACAGGAGGAGACCAGAGACTGTGAGTTTCATCTTTAGTCTGAATATATAAACTCAACTTCCCAAGTCTTGATTTAACCACCGATTGCATCCTTGGTCCTAAATTCAGTGGTTTATTTTTTCTTTTGCTGGTGTTACACCCCTGCTGGCATCCTGGTGGTTGAACAGGGATGTCGCTGAGGCAGCAGCTACCGATCTGACATAACTTAATGTTATTATTAATGCATTCTTCTAAAACAAGCCTTGTGCCCAGCATCCAATAGCAGTTAGCTTCTGAAGGGCTGCCTTGCGTGTCCAGCTGCGTGGCAGGGGTTCAAATATTCCTGCTAAGCACAATGTCCAGGTAACTTATGATTTAACTGTGCTTCAATGGTTTTGTGCTACTAATGCATATGTCAGCCTTTTACTTAACATCTTAGTTTTAAGATGGGTGCAGGGAACAAGTTGACTTCAATTACTGCAGTGCTTGAGTTCCAAAGGCAAGAAACTTCTTTCTATTATGTCTTAGGTTGCAACCCAGTTCAAAAACAGTCTGATGAGCCTCATAGACATCCTGATGTCCAAGGAGCCTTCTTATGTCCGATGCATTAAACCGAATGAGAACAAGGAGCCTGGTAAGACATTGGGCTGAAGGCACAGCTGGGATAAAGGAGGGAGATTTTAGCTTGTAGCTAGGTACAGCAGATAAAATACATATATTTTATATATATACACATTATACATAGATTAAATACATATATATTTCTTGGTTAAGCTAGCAGCAAAGTCATCACCTTGGGTAACAGGATTTGATCCCTTCTTTATCTGTCCCAATACATGAACAAGTGAGTTGAGCTTCCACAGCCAGTGTTTTCCAGTGACTATGTATGACTTTACTACAGGGAAGTTTGATGATTATCTGATCCGACATCAGGTGAAGTACCTGGGACTGATGGAGCACTTGCGGGTGAGACGAGCCGGCTTCGCGTATCGGCGGAAGTATGAGCTCTTCTTGCAAAGGTGAGCAGAGCTGTTCTGCCATCAGCCAGGTGAACCTGCCCTCTCATGAGGGCTTCAGAGCAAGGTTTGCTTAAATATCAAGTCCTGGTGATACGAGGTGTCAGCAGACAGGTGGTTTTTTTTGTCTGTATGCACTTTGATCTGCTTTGGCATCTTCTGCCTTGAATAAAGCAGTAGGAATCTTGAGGGGAGAGCTTCAGGAAGGGAGTTCCTGAAATGTCAAGTCATTTGTTTTGATGTCTTGCTGATCTTTCAGGTATAAATCCCTCTGTCCAGCTACTTGGCCACATTGGCATGGCCCAGCAGCTGAGGGTGTGGAGAGGCTCATCAAGCACATTGGTTACAAGCCTGAGGAATACAAATTAGGAAGGTAAATTTCCTTTCTCTGGCTGGTCAGCTGCATGGTGCTTGCCATATTTGATCTTCTGTCTGTGACTGCCCTTCCCAGAGAGCTGCAAGACCTGGTGGTGGGAACTGATCCCTTTAGCTGGGCTCTTGCGTGACCATGTGAACTGGGTGGACCTGCCTGGGTCTGCAAACCTGATGGATTCTGATTTGTGATTTAGTTAAAACAGCCTAAAGTAACCTCACCCCAAAGGTATAGCGTGCACAGGAGCAAGGAGACAGATGAAAAGCCTGGATGCATAAATTTCCTCTATATTTTCCCCTTCCTGTTTCCATGGAAGCTCGAGTACAGCTGAGTTTCTTCCACCTCTGGATTAGGGGAGGTGGGCTGCCTTGCTTCAGCTCCATGTCTCCCTGCTTGCTTGGCCACAGGCAACTTGCCCGTCTTTGGCTTGGGTTCTTTTCTTAACTGTCCTCTGTAACCACTCCTGAACCACAGCCATGTCCTCCTTGCCAGGGCGTGGGGCAGGGCAGGGCTCTCTCATGTCACCTTCAACCTGTGAATGTCAGAATCCATGAATTAGGGCAGCTGAAACCATGGCTCACTGTGAATAAGCTGTTCATGGTCTCTTTTTCAGGACCAAAATATTCATTCGGTTCCCAAAGACCCTGTTTGCTACTGAAGATGCGTTTGAATTCAGAAAGCATCTGTTGGGTATGGTTCCAGTTCCCTTTGTCTGTCTGTAACTAAGAAGCAGAGCCTGGGTGAACTGTGTTTCTGGGCTCCAGGTTTGTGCAGCAGATGCACCATGGTGAGAGCTGAGCCCCCCATCTGCATCGCTCGGGAGAGTCCAAGGAGAACTTCATAATCTTTTCCAGGGTGGGGAGAAATCATGAGCTATATTGCTTGAGTTCTAGACGTGTATCTCCTTATGTTTCCCCTGGAATTGGGATATACCACCCATCTCATCCTAGTGTTAGCTGTTTGGGGCTGCCTAAAGGCATGTTTACCTGTGCAGGCAACTTTTGGTCCTATTGGTGTTTTAGCCCTGTTGTTCCTTGGTGATTGTGCAGACCCTCCTGTGCCTTGGCATGTGGTGTCTGATTGCTGGGAGCACAGCTCCTGGATGTTCTGATCCTGTAGATATGAGCAATGGCTCTGCTGCTTTTTTTTTCCCCCAGTTTCAAGACTACAGGCCAAATACAAAGGATGCCTTGGAAAGAGAGCCTATGAGAAGAAGAGAGCAGCAGGTACGAGCTCTGGGATTGAGGAGTGTCTTAGGGCTGGGCTTTCCGATAGGAGCTGTAGCTTTGGGAGGTCACAAATCCATGTTGCTGCAGATATCACCTGCAGGGCTGTGGATGCTGGGCTTAGATGCAGGTGACAGTGGTATGAAGAGCATTCACAGAGGTCTGTTTAGCTCCTCACACCATGTGCTGCTCCTGGTGTCACCCAGGCATCAGCTGTGGGAGCAGCTCTGTGTGGTGGCAGCACCCTCTGCTGTGAGTGTGGGGGTGTTCTGGGGGGGTACCGAGGGCATTGCTCGTTAACTGCTGGGGGAACAAACCCTCTTAGCACAGTGGACAACCTCATAAATGATGCTGCAGGCTCAAAGGCCAGCTTTCTGAGATGAGCTGCTGGCTCTGTGCGGTACATCACTGCCTGGCTGTTGAGCTCTGCAGTGCAGGTAGTGCTGGATCAGTTATTACAGAGAAAAAAATGTTCTAAACTTCTTACTCTAAAGATCAGCTGATGGGAAGAGCTACAGAAGAGCCAGTTATATCTTCTGCTATATGAATTTAAAGGATAGTATGGCACAGGATCTCTGATACTAATACAAGGACTTGCTTAATTCTTGCAGCTATCAAGCTGGAGGCTTGCTGGCGAGGAGCACTGGCACGGAAGGAGGCCAAGAAGAGGACGTGGGCTGTTCAGACCATCAGGAAGTAACTATCATTGTGTGGTGGTCGTGAGGAAGGCTGTAGGTGACAGCATGGTGATGGTGTCTGGATCGTGAGTCCAGAGTACTGACCAGGGACTCAAAACCATCCCTTTCACACCTCTTTCTAAGCTATCTGTCGTTAGGAGGACAGTTGCCAGATGGGGTTGACCAGAAATGCCCGTGACCTCTTCAGGAATCCTTTGGCAGCACAACCTCTGAAAAAATGCTTGGGATTTAACATCATTTAATATCATTTAGAAATTAAACTTCGGTTTTATAGTGGGGAATAGCTGAAACCTGGGAGTGTGAGGAAACTGTGCACCATACAGCAGTTCCTTGTGGCTTCAGTTATGGGTCACAGAAGCAAGAACAACAGCCTGACTTGCACCAATTTCTGTTGCTCTGCCAGTTTAGTTTGGTACAAGGGATCTCCAAACCGATCCTTTGTGAGCCTGTCCATTCTCTTCATTTTGCTTAGCTGAATTCCACATTAAAGCTAGGGAAATACATTAGTTTGTATTTCTTTAATCCCACTAAATTCTGCAGGAGGACTCAGCTGATGCAGCAAGTCTTTGTGACTGGAATTTTGTCCTACCGCGGGTGTCAGGTTCTCAGTAAGATGGCAAGTGACTTAATCTATCCTTTTATCCATAGGCTTTTGGAAACGCAAAAACTCTGCGTAATGACAACTCGAGTAGATTTGGGAAATACATGGATATCCAATTTGATTTTAAGGTGAGAACAAACTTAATGGACCGGTGTTAAAACAACTTGTATCAGTGAACCTCTTGGATGCTTACCAGGCAGCACAGGATTTATTAAGGCTTACACTGCACTTTTCTGACCCTATTTTTACAGGCGTTGCATTTTGTGAGTAAAGTTACTAGTTACACGTCCTGAAAGCTTCCTACATCACTGGCAATATTGCTGGCGCTCAGTAGACAGCTAATATAGATTGTTGTAAAGCACAAGTTGCACCAGAAGGACAGCAAACTCTTTAGATAAGGCTTGTGCTGTTGTCAGATACTAACTCTTAAACACAAGATGGCAGATGAGTAACAGCAGAAAAGTGAACGTGCTTCTCCTGACACTGCTCCTTGTTCCTCGGTGTGGAGGAACAGCCCTCACAATGATGTTGTTTGTATCTATGGGTGTTGATCTGACTGCTTTGTTCTGCCAGGGAGCTCCTGTCGGAGGGCACATCCTCAGCTACCTGATTGAGAAATCCCGAGTTGTCCATCAAAACCACGGAGAAAGGAATTTCCATATTTTCTACCAGTTATTAGAGGGTGGAGACAAGGATCTTCTTTGCTGGCTGGGGCTGGAGCGCAACCCCCAAAAGTACGCGTATCTCATCCAGGTCGGTGAGAGCTTGTCCCCCTCTCTCTGTATCTTACACCTAGAAGGGTAGGGATTGCAGATGCAGCTTTCCTCACGTACGAAGTGTGCTGCTGAGCTGCTGAGAGAACACACTGTGTCATGTTATAGTGAAACTCACAGGCAAGTTGGTCACAAACATATTTGCCCCAAAGCTGTCGTACATCGTTCTACCCTGGGTGCTTTTGTAGCAGGAACTCTACTTTTGTTGCTAGAACTCTGTTCTAGCTGTGATGGCCTAAGGATGCACATAAGTGGCTTATAAGGGATAATATCTCTTATTGAATCAGCTGATAATGGTTGTGGGGGCAGAAACAAGCTTTGGGGCAACATGACCCTGTGACAGCGAGGCCATTGGAGCTGAAAAAAGGTCCCTTTCACCAGGTCTTTATTAATTGTGTATTCCCTGTGTTCTGTGTGTGCAGAGCAGCCTACTGCTGCCATCCTCACTGCTGCTGTGAGAGTGTAAACGCTCTTAAGCAAGTGTCACCAAACCATTTGATGATCCTGGTCCCTCTGGTACAGTCAAGTCATGTATTGATTCATTGAGAAGAGTGGCCTGAGCTACTAAACAGCACAGTAGTAACTGTCTGCAAGCTACATTTCATATAAAGGCATCTTCTCTAAGGGCTCTGTATCAGAATTTGGTATAAAATGAGTTTCTCAGGATTTATGGACCTCACACAGAGGTCCATACATATGGTTATGCACTATACAGTTCACTTTGTGGTAATGCACTCAGTTTTCTTTCTTCCTTGGTAGTGAAGAATGATGGGGCAGAAGATAATATTACCATAAAAATGGAGGATGGCTGGAAGCTCAAACTCTTCACAAGACTTAGCCATTTTATGGTAATCACTATCCAAGCTCAATACTTTAAATTATCTGACAATTTAAGTATAAGCTGAAAGATCTGATCAAATGAGCCGCTTTGAGGATTAGCAGGGGTGAAATAAACTTGCTAACTAGTTGCAGACTGCATCTATACAGGCTGAGGAAACTGGAAATGAAAGTAGCATGCCCAGGTGCTGTGTTTGATAATAAAATTGCTTTGCCAATTAATTGTACTAATTTACCTTTCTTTTACTGTATAGGGTCGATGTGCCAAAGTGTTTTCTATTAATGACAAAAACGACTGGAAAATAGTCCGCAAAGCTTTTTCTATCATTGACTTTACTGAAAAAGATACAGAGGTATGTGTGGGAGAGGGACTGAGCCTACCAAAGGGAATTGAAGTGAGGAGCGCACTGCTGTCTCTCCTTAAAAGCGATGGAAGCAGTCTTGCTTGGGAGAGGTGTTAAGGATGGGATAGGACATCATTTTGGGGGGATTGAGGGAGAAGTTGGGTGGGCGAAGAGCTCTATCACTTGGCACAGCATGATGGCAACTGGTGGCAGCACATCTCTGAAGCAGGTTGTCCAACTTGCCACCTTTGGCCGAGCCAACGTTCTGTTTATTAGCACGCGTAGGAAAGATTAGGACCATCTCATGGAGCTGTGGGAAGCTGTTTTCTAATGGTGTGTCTCTTGTTATTAGAATCTCTTTGGAATTGTTGCTAGCGTCCTGCACCTTGGGAACATCCAGTTTGAAGAAGATAGCAATGGGCATGCCATCATTCGTGATGGCACACAGATCAAATGGATTTCAAAGGTAACTTTTCTGAGATAATGTCAGTATTACAGGTGCTATTAAGAAAGCCTTGACGTTTCTGTGGGCGTTTAAGGGCAGACATGTCTGTTCCTAAAAGCAGAATGATTGCTCTGTAAATACCCAGCTCGTGATAACCTGTCTGGAGCTGTAGGGCCCCTTTTCTCTCTAGCACATCTCTCTGAAACTTCCTTACTTATTGTTGCTCAAAGATGAGTGTAACTGGGAAGGGACTGGGGGGGTTATACCCTACTGATCACACGATGCTGCTTATTTAAACAGTCTCCTGCTGGCCACGCTCTGAGTCCAAGTATTTCCTTCTCTGCAGCTACTGGGTGTGCACTTGTCCATTCTGCAGGAAGCTCTCACCCATCGGAAGATCGAAGCCAGATCTGAAGAGGTACCCAGTAGCTCTCTGTGACCCCAGGCAGCTGGGAGCCACCCCAGCCAGTGGTGACTGATGAGAAGCTCTGTTCTTTGCAGTGTTACAGTAAAACCAGATCACACTCTCCTCCATATCACCTTTCTCTTCTAGCCTAAGATGTTAAATTAAAACTTATTCCCCATATTAGAGGCTTACTGCTGAACGAAGTAGTATCTATTAAGAAAGCTAGGAAGAGGGACTTGCAGGCAGCCCTATGTTTGAGCCAAACAGCTTCCTTCTGTTCCATCCCTGGGGTGCTTCCTGGAAAACTGGCTGCACAAACAGAGGAAAGCACTGGGAAAAAACATTCTTTGAGCACTTGGTACCAAGTTTAATAATAAAACTAAAAGGAAGTCAGAATACTTTCCCCGCTTGTCTAAATTAGTCCTCTCCAAAACGTAGTATCACAATCCTGCTGGCTTGTGGCCGTACACCAGCCTGAGGTGACACTGATGGTAAATAAAGTTGTAGGCAGCTACAGTTAGGTAGGCTGAGAGCTGGGCTGTGGTATAAGAGAACATGGCTCATTCTCCAACCACAGGTGTGAATTGGCTTTGCAGGAGTTTGACCAGCTGTGGTGTTTATCATCTCTGGCATATCTTTATTTTTAGGTCCTGAGCCCTCTGAATGTGGATCTGGCATTCTACGCTCGGGATGCAGTAGCAAAGGCGATTTATGGACGAACTTTCACTTGGCTGGTCAACAAAATTAACGGCTCTCTAGCCAACAAGGTTGGTTTCTTGTCTGGTATCTTCCCAGACACTGAGTGCTCCTGACATGCTGAGCAGTTTCTCTGGGGAAGGTCCTACAGCACTCACCACCAAATATCTTGGTTGCTTGATAACTGGTGTAGGGGAATGCTGCAGCATTGAGCTGGAAAATGCTTTAGTTGGGTATGGAAGGTGGTGTGTTTAAGAGTTTTAGCAGTTCATTGCCTGCCTTAAAGTGGCTGCTCCATTGGCATGTGATACAAAGCTGTCGAAGGGAAAGCTTAACATTTAGGTGAAGGATGCAACATGAAACATGCAGGGGAGAAGCATGAGCTGAAGCAGCAATTACAGAGCAATAATATCTTTAACAGGATTCAACTCGGAAAACAGTTATCGGCCTGCTGGATATCTATGGGTTTGAAGTGCTGGACACAAACAGGTAAGGGCTGTTCCTGAGGCTTGGGGTGATCTGTCCTTGTGCTGGTGGGGCCATGTGCTGAAGTCTTATGTGGCTTCTGGAGTGTGGTCTCATCCCAGCAAGGCAAGCTACAGGTGGCTGCCAAATCTGAGGGCACTGGGCTAGGGAAAGCCCCTGGAGAAAGCTCCAGCTTGGGCTGCCTGCCTGGATTTGAGCCACTGGCACAACAGTGTGGGAGGAATGGGTGGCTTTGATCTGGATCAAAGTGGGCTGTCTGGCTGGAAAACTGTAGTGGTAAACTGTAACAGTGGTAAAACTATCCATGCAATAAATGAAAAACTAATCCTCATTTAACCACTCTGAAGCTTTGAGCAGTTCTGCATTAATTACTGCAATGAGAAGCTCCAGCAGCTGTTGATTGAGATGACCTTGAAAGCAGAGCAGGAGGAGTATGAACTAGAAGGAATAGAGGTAATTTATTATGTTCCCCCTCCCTTTTTTCTTTGAACTGCCATTACACTGGATGCTTTTGATCATCAATGAAGATGGCATCCTGTTTTTTTCTTCTTCAGTTTGAATTGATAAGGTCACAACACTGATCTTTACTGGGATTGGCATCTGGCTCCAAACAACTTAAAAATTTCAAGGCAAAGATTTCCTCTAAAGCTCTTCATCCTTTTTTTGTTCTTTTATTTCCAGTGGGAACCAATTCCATATTTTAACAACAAGATCATCTGCGACCTGGTTGAGCAGAAGCATAAAGGAATAATCTCCATTCTGGTAAGAGTTTGTGCTACTTAAATTAAAATGCCTGCCTGTTCCCTACTCTAATGGTCCATAATTGTATTTTTTCCTCTAATTATGTGAAGGGTCTGCATTATTCAGAATGTAAACAAATAGATATTGTAAACAAGGTCCAGAAGATTGAAGATTAGAGGATCTGCTTGCTAAAGAGCTGTGGGTTTTAAAGGAGTTGTGCTGCTTCTACAGAGACTCTGAGTGCTTGAGAAGGCAGACCTAGGCTATTCTCTCTACTTTTTGCCTGGAGACATGGAGAGATAGAAGGAAGGTACCTGCAGCAACCTGGCTGGCTTTAGTCAGCAACAGGAATGGGACCCAGCTTTCTTCTGAGTATTGTTAGGGAGACTGCAGAACACCAGGAGTACTTCTTCATGGCCACCTGAAGCCTTACAAGAGACCTCCAGGCTCTTGTAAAGATGAAAGAGGACAATTCATCCCATCTATCTGCTTACATGACTTTCTTGTTTTAATCTCTGACACTTCAAAGGGGCTCAGATAGGAGAGGAAACCTAAGAGCTGCCTACCTCCTCCTGGTCTTCCTCTTGTTTCCTTGCCCTTTAGTTGTTACTGCTTCTAAAATACCGATCTGAAGTTGTGCCTTCAAAGGGATGGCAGGAGAAATGGGAGAGGCTGAAGGCAGCTCTTTCCAGAGCTTTGAGCAAGGAGCTTGTTCTGCAATGGTGTGTAACGCTTCTTGCTTTGAGAAGTGGGGAGGAGTTTGATCACTCAAGCTACCACAATGATACTTTCTTGAATGCAAACTCTAATTAGTAAGAAATCTAGTAATCTTCCTGTAGAGATCTGTAGCCACACTTGAAGTTGCGTTGTTCCATGCCACTACTCTGACATGTCCACAAAGCCAAGAATTTTCATCACTTCGTTACAGGAGACAGAAATTAGTACATCGTAATCCAGAGAAGGTGCTGCTGAAGCTCAGCATTAGCTTCACATTGCAATGGGTTGCTCTTTCAAGCGGGGCTTGTTGTGTTTTTTGGGTCAAAAAAGGGTAATCTTTAAGCTTGTCTCCCCCCTCCAACTCTGTGATTCATCCAGACCGAGAGTCCTGCAGATCCTCCTGAATTTTGGTGTCTAATGATGTCATCTTTCTCATTGTTTTTGTTTAAGTGAACTACAAATAATAAAAATAATAGACAGTTTGGAAGAAAAAGGCAGATCTGACTGGATTTATCTTGATACTTCTACTGAAAACAGATAATCGAAGCTTTAAATTTAACTGGGAAATTGCCTGTATAAACCAGACCTCGCCTCAAATTGTATCCAAGCTCTTTGGTTTTGCATAATGAAGTTTGTAATATTTATCATCAAGGAGGGAGTGGTCTGTTCAGAGCAGCATTTGATGGAGTGCCTGCTGTTCCAGGATGAAGAATGCTTACGACCTGGGGAAGCAACTGATCTGAGCTTCTTGGAAAAGCTGGAAGAGAAAGTAGGAGATCATGCCCACTTCGTGACGTATGCATTTACGCTCTGTATCCTACTGCAGACGAGACTCTTCCCATCTCTTACCCATAACAGAGCATTGGGGAGGGAACATTTTTTGCTTTACACCAAAGAAAATCAAGCAGCCCAGCCAGTGTTGAAATGTGCTACACTGGTGGAGTATGTTCTAGGATATTGGGGAGGTGGTGGTGTGGGGATTCCTGTCTCTTTACTAGGGTGATGCTGATCTTTGAGTCTGATTTCATTCCATATTAAAATTGGGGACTAAAGATTAGATGGCTTTGGCCATGGGTGGCTTTGTCCCCCACTGACTCCAGGGGAAGCAGAAGATACTGTGAAGAGGAGTCTAATGCCCCAGGCTGTGGGGGGCACATAAACGTTTTTCAAGAGTCTATCTGGGTATGTGAGAGCTTTAGGTAGGAAGAGGAAAGAAGCATGGTCCTGCTCGTATCTCCCAGATGAGTGGTGTTTTGGTTCATACTCAATTTGTGGTATTTTTGGATGTGGTTTTGGTGGTAGATGAACACGTTGGTGCTGGGCTGTTCTGGCAGTTCCCAGCAGACGCCTGCTGAAGGGCTTTGACAAGCCATCAATTCTGAGTCACGCTGCTGAATTGTCACCCTTCCTACAGCTCTGAAGTTCATCACAGCCAAGTGGAAAATTTGTAGCCAACTTCCTTGTCACCACAATGTGCCTTAATACTGTTCTGCCTGATTAAAAGCTTTAAATAGAAGTGCTAGAGCTACTTAAATGGGATCTGTACTTGGCGATGCTCTTGGAAGGAAATTTTGATGTACTAATGTGCTGTTGTGACACACAACTCTGCTGTTAGTGACTGCTTACAAAGCTGAAACTTAAACTGTTAAGTTGCTCTTTTATTTTTTTTCTTTTCCTTTTTTTTCCCCCCCAGGAGTCTATGCTTTCTAAATTTTTCCTGCTATTCTTGAAAATTTTGATTTCTCCTTTGTATTTGGGTTCTTGTTCTAAGCCAAAATATCTCCAACAATCCTTCCCTTCCCTCCCCACCCCATTTTCACTTCAAAATTGAGGAAGCTGGTGATCTTTTTCTCATGTAGGCAGCGAGAATGTGTTTAAATTAATGTTATATGAGGAAATCTTAACAGTTCTGGAAAGGGTGGTCGTTGCCAAGTGGTGGGGATGGGTCACAGATATTTTGAGGAGTTTGTGGTAACTGACTCTTTTCAGCTTTTTCAGCTGACAGGGAATTTTGCTGTTAGCTGTTCCCAATGGACAGATAGATGATAATTCAATTATAGGCCATAACTGCGTAGTCAGAGCCATGTTGATAGAACAAACATTAAATAGACTCCCAGCTCTTCTACGGCTGCTTTTTGTGCAGGTGACTTTTGATAAGCTAAGGAAGCCAATTTGCTGCTTTTTCTCTTGTTGGGTTCTTTTTTTCCCCCCCGCAGTCGCAAGCTGGCAGACCAGAAGACACGGAAATCGATTGACTGGGTGGATTTCCGCCTCCTCCACTACGCAGGAGAAGTCACTTACTGTGCTGTTGGTGAGTGTGAACAAAGTACCAGCCTAGAAGTTACCTGAGCTTTTGAGCCAGCGTGGTAGTTAATAGCTTGGTGTGAAGATGAAATACAAAACATCTGCTCTCTGAAGGTGCTAAAATCTTAAACATGAGTGCAGCGGATATAAATTGAGGATATAAATTTCCAGCTTTTGTGTTAAAGCGTGTAGCTTTCAAAAGGAATTAAACCTTGGGATGTTGTTTTATTTTTCTTCAGGATTTCTGGAGAAGAATAATGATCTCCTGTACAGAAACCTGAAAGAGGTAAGAACAGAAAAAAGGCTCCTAAGTTACCTTGCTTGAAGTAGTGATGTTTGCAGGTGTATTTAATCTCTGTAGCAAACAACATGTATTTCTCCTGAGCAATGTTCTTTAGGCACCTCCATGCATGTCCTTACAGCTGTGCTGCTTGAGCTTAGAAGCCTGACAGTAGGAATAGCTGCCTGCTAAATAAGGCAGCTTTTCCTTTACCCTGTTTCAGGTGCTGTGCAACTCTAAAAATGCCATCATTAGAGACTGCTTTTTACTGTCAGAGCTCGACAACAGGAGGAGACCAGAGACTGTGAGTTTCATCTTTAGTCTGAATATATAAACTCAACTTCCCAAGTCTTGATTTAACCACCGATTGCATCCTTGGTCCTAAATTCAGTGGTTTATTTTTTCTTTTGCTGGTGTTACACCCCTGCTGGCATCCTGGTGGTTGAACAGGGATGTCGCTGAGGCAGCAGCTATCGGTGTGACATAACTTAATGTTGTTATTAATGCATTCTTCTAAAACAAGCCCTGTGCCCAGCATCCAATAGCAGTTAGCTTCTGAAGGGCTGCCTTGCGTGTCCAGCTGCATGGCAGGGGTTCAAATATTCCTGCTAAGCACAATGTCCAGGTAACTTATGATTTAACTGTGCTTCAATAGTTTTGTGCTACTACTGCATATGTCAGCCTTTTACTTAACATCTTAGTTTTAAGATGGGTGCAGGGAACAAGTTGACTTCAATTACTGCAGTGCTTGAGTTCCAAAGGCAAGAAACTTCTTTCAATTATGTCTTAGGTTGCAACCCAGTTCAAAAACAGTCTGATGAGCCTCATAGACATCCTGATGTCCAAGGAGCCTTCTTATGTCCGATGCATTAAACCGAATGAGAACAAGGAGCCTGGTAAGACATTGTGCTGAAGGCACAGCTGGGATAAAGGAGGGAGATTTTAGCTTGTAGCTAGGTACAGCAGATAAAATATATATATTTTATATATATACACACTATACATAGATTAAATATATATATATTTCTTGGTTAAGCTAGCAGCAAAGTCATCACCTTGGGTAACTGGATTTGATCCCTTCCTTATACATGAACAAGTGAGTTGAGCTTCCACAGCCAGTGTTTTCCAGTGACTACGTATGTCCTTACTACAGGGAAGTTTGATGATTATCTGATCCGACATCAGGTGAAGTACCTGGGACTGATGGAGCACTTGCGGGTGAGACGAGCCGGCTTCGCGTATCGGCGGAAGTATGAGCTCTTCTTGCAAAGGTGAGCAGAGCTGTTCTGCCATCAGCCAGGTGAACCTGCCCTCTCATGAGGGCTTCAGAGCAAGGTTTGCTTAAATATCAAGTCCTGGTGATACGAGGTGTCAGCAGACAGGTGGTTTTTTTTGTCTGTATGCACTTTGATCTGCTTTGGCATCTTCTGCCTTGAATAAAGCAGTAGGAATCTTGAGGGGAGAGCTTCAGGAAGGGAGTTCCTGAAATGTCAAGTCATTTGTTTTGATGTCTTGCTGATCTTTCAGGTATAAATCCCTCTGTCCAGCTACTTGGCCACATTGGCATGGCCCAGCAGCTGAGGGTGTGGAGAGGCTCATCAAGCACATTGGTTACAAGCCTGAGGAATACAAATTAGGAAGGTAAATTTCCTTTCTCTGGCTGGTCAGCTGCATGGTGCTTGCCATATTTGATCTTCTGTCTGTGACTGCCCTTCCCAGAGAGCTGCAAGACCTGGTGGTGGGAACTGATCCCTTTAGCTGGGCTCTTGTGTGACCATGTGAACCGGGTGGACCTGCCTGGGTCTGCAAACCTGATGGATTCTGATTTGTGATTTAGTTAAAAGAACCCAAAGTAACCTCACCCTGGAGGTATACAGTGCACAGGAGCAAGGAGACAGATAAAAAGTCTGGATGCATAAATTTCCTCTTTATTTTCCCCTTCCTGTTTCCATGGAAGCTCGAGTACAGCTGAGTTTCTTCCACCTCTGGATTAGGGGAGGTGGGCTGCCTTGCTTCAGCTCCATGTCTCCCTGCTTGCTTGGCCACAGGCAACTTGCCCGTCTTTGGCTTGGGTTCTTTTCTTAACTGTCCTCTGTAACCACTCCTGAACCACAGCCATGTCCTCCTTGCCAGGGCGTGGGGCAGGGCAGGGCTCTCTCATGTCACCTTCAACCTGTGAATGTCAGAATCCATGAATTAGGGCAGCTGAAACCATGGCTCACTGTGAATAAGCTGTTCATGGTCTCTTTTTCAGGACCAAAATATTCATTCGGTTCCCAAAGACCCTGTTTGCTACTGAAGATGCGTTTGAATTCAGAAAGCATCTGTTGGGTATGGTTCCAGTTCCCTTTGTCTGTCTGTAACTAAGAAGCAGAGCCTGGGTGAACTGTGTTTCTGGGCTCCAGGTTTGTGCAGCAGATGCACCATGGTGAGAGCTGAGCCCCCGATCTGCGTCGCTCAGGAGAGTCCAAGGAGAACTTCATAATCTTTTCCAGGGTGGGGAGAAATCATGAGCTATATTGCTTGAGTTCTAGACGTGTATCTCCTTATGTTTCCCCTGGAATTGGGATATACCACCCATCTCATCCTAGTGTTAGCTGTTTGGGGCTGCCTAAAGGCATGTTTACCTGTGCAGGCAACTTTTGGTCCTATTGGTGTTTTAGCCCTGTTGTTCCTTGGTGATTGTGCAGACCCTCCTGTGCCTTGGCATGTGGTGTCTGATTGCTGGGAGCACAGCTCCTGGATGTTCTGATCCTGTAGATATGAGCAATGTCTCTGCTGCTTTTTTTTTCCCCCAGTTTCAAGACTACAGGCCAAATACAAAGGATGCCTTGGAAAGAGAGCCTATGAGAAGAAGAGAGCAGCAGGTACGAGCTCTGGGATTGAGGAGTGTCTTAGGGCTGGGCTTTCCGATAGGAGCTGTAGCTTTGGGAGGTCACAAATCCATGTTGCTGCAGATATCACCTGCAGGGCTGTGGATGCTGGGCTTAGATGCAGGTGACAGTGGTATGAAGAGCATTCACAGAGGTCTGTTTAGCTCCTCACACCATGTGCTGCTCCTGGTGTCACCCAGGCATCAGCTGTGGGAGCAGCTCTGTGCGGTGGCAGCACCCTCTGCTGTGAGTGTGGGGGTGTTCTGGGGGGGTACCGAGGGCATTGCTCGTTAACTGCTGGGGGAACAAACCCTCTTAGCACAGTGGACAACCTCATAAATGATGCTGCAGGCTCAAAGGCCAGCTTTCTGAGATGAGCTGCTGGCTCTGTGCAGTACGTCACTGCCTGGCTGTTGAGCTCTGCAGTGCAGGTAGTGCTGGATCAGTTATTACAGAGAAAAAAATGTTCTAAACTTCTTACTCTAAAGATCAGCTGATGGGAAGAGCTACAGAAGAGCCAGTTATATCTTCTGCTATATGAATTTAAAGGATAGTATGGCACAGGATCTCTGATACTAATACAAGGACTTGATTGATTCTTGCAGCTATCAAGCTGGAGGCTTGCTGGCGAGGAGCACTGGCACGGAAGAAGGCCAAGAAGAGGACGTGGGCAGTTCAGACCATCAGGAAGTAACTATCATTGTGTGGTGGTCGTGAGGAAGGCTGTAGGTGACAGCATGGTGATGGTGTCTGGATCGTGAGTCCAGAGTACTGACCAGGGACTCAAAACCATCCCTTTCACACCCGTTTCTAAGCTCTCTGTCGTTAGGAGGACAGTTACCAGATGGGGTTGACCAGAAATGCCCGTGACCTCTTCAGGAATCCTGACTTGCACCAATTTCTGTTGCTCTGCCACTTTAGTTTGGTAGAAGGGATCTCCAAACCAATCCTTTGTGAGCCTGTCCGTTTTCTTCGTGTATGGTCCTCCCTCTCCACTCCCTTAAGCCCAGCTCCTGAATACTGCATCAGAAGTAGTGCTGATCTTCCTTTTTAATGCCAAAGCACAGGTTTTGGTCAACAAAACTTAGGAAAAGACTTAATTTTTGGAATATTATAAAGCTTAAAATTTCCATTGCTGTAACGCAGGTGACAGTGTACCTGAGTTAACATCAGGGATTTTTTTAGCCCGTTGTGTGCCTTCTGTGACTTGCCTTTTATTTCCACTGATTTCTGAACATAATGTCTAAGTTCTGGTTTGGATATTTTTTTCTGTAGATTCATAAATGGTTTCATCAATCGGAAGAAACCCCTTTGTCCAGAGAACATTGAATTTGTGCGGCTCGTGCAGTACAAATACTTCATGAAGCTCAGAGACCACGTTCCAAAAAATGTCTTGGACAAGAGCTGGCTTCAACCTCCTTCCATCCTGGAAGAGGTGAGGGTTGCTGGAGGCCCCAGGAGAGGTGAAGAGGGCTTCTGTTCTAGGGTCATAGGTGTACACACTTCTTGTCAGATACTAACTCTTAAACACAAGATGGCAGATGAGTAACAGCAGAAAAGTGAACGTGCTTCTCCTGACACTGCTCCTTGTTCCTCGGTGTGGAGGAACAGCCCTCACAATGATGTTGTTTGTATCTATGGGTGTTGATCTGACTGCTTTGTTCTGCCAGGGAGCTCCTGTCGGAGGGCACATCCTCAGCTACCTGATTGAGAAATCCCGAGTTGTCCATCAAAACCACGGAGAAAGGAATTTCCATATTTTCTACCAGTTATTAGAGGGTGGAGACAAGGATCTTCTTTGCTGGCTGGGGCTGGAGCGCAACCCCCAAAAGTACGCGTATCTCATCCAGGTCGGTGAGAGCTTGTCCCCCTCTCTCTGTATCTTACACCTAGAAGGGTAGGGATTGCAGATGCAGCTTTCCTCACGTACGAAGTGTGCTGCTGAGCTGCTGAGAGAACACACTGTGTCATGTTATAGTGAAACTCACAGGCAAGTTGGTCACAAACATACTTGCCCCAAAGCTGTCGTACATCGTTCTACCCTGGGTGCTTTTGTAGCAGGAACTCTACTTTTGTTGCTAGAACTCTGTTCTAGCTGTGATGGCCTAAGGATGCCCATAAGTGGCTTATAAGGGATAATATCTCTTATTGAATCAGCTGATAATGGTTGTGGGGGCAGAAACAAGCTTTGGGGCAACATGACCCTGTGACAGCGAGGCCATTGGAGCTGAAAAAAGGTCCCTTTCACCAGGTCTTTATTAATTGTGTATTCCCTGTGTTCTGTGTGTGCAGAGCAGCCTACTGCTGCCATCCTCACTGCTGCTGTGAGAGTGTAAACGCTCTTAAGCAAGTGTCACCAAACCATTTGATGATCCTGGTCCCTCTGGTACAGTCAAGTCATGTATTGATTCATTGAGAAGAGTGGCCTGAGCTACTAAACAGCACAGTAGTAACTGTCTGCAAGCTACATTTCATATAAAGGCATCTTCTCTAAGGGCTCTGTATCAGAATTTGGTATAAAATGAGTTTCTCAGGATTTATGGACCTCACACAGAGGTCCATACATATGGTTATGCACTATACAGTTCACTTTGTGGTAATGCACTCAGTTTTCTTTCTTCCTTGGTAGTGAAGAATGATGGGGCAGAAGATAATATTACCATAAAAATGGAGGATGGCTGGAAGCTCAAACTCTTCACAAGACTTAGCCATTTTATGGTAATCACTATCCAAGCTCAATACTTTAAATTATCTGACAATTTAAGTATAAGCTGAAAGATCTGATCAAATGAGCCGCTTTGAGGATTAGCAGGGGTGAAATAAACTTGCTAACTAGTTGCAGACTGCATCTATACAGGCTGAGGAAACTGGAAATGAAAGTAGCATGCCCAGGTGCTGTGTTTGATAATAAAATTGCTTTGCCAATTAATTGTACTAATTTACCTTTCTTTTACTGTATAGGGTCGATGTGCCAAAGTGTTTTCTATTAATGACAAAAACGACTGGAAAATAGTCCGCAAAGCTTTTTCTATCATTGACTTTACTGAAAAAGATACAGAGGTATGTGTGGGAGAGGGACTGAGCCTACCAAAGGGAATTGAAGTGAGGAGCGCACTGCTGTCTCTCCTTAAAAGCGATGGAAGCAGTCTTGCTTGGGAGAGGTGTTAAGGATGGGATAGGACATCATTTTGGGGGGATTGAGGGAGAAGTTGGGTGGGCGAAGAGCTCTATCACTTGGCACAGCATGATGGCAACTGGTGGCAGCACATCTCTGAAGCAGGTTGTCCAACTTGCCACCTTTGGCCGAGCCAACGTTCTGTTTATTAGCACGCGTAGGAAAGATTAGGACCATCTCATGGAGCTGTGGGAAGCTGTTTTCTAATGGTGTGTCTCTTGTTATTAGAATCTCTTTGGAATTGTTGCTAGCGTCCTGCACCTTGGGAACATCCAGTTTGAAGAAGATAGCAATGGGCATGCCATCATTCGTGATGGCACACAGATCAAATGGATTTCAAAGGTAACTTTTCTGAGATAATGTCAGTATTACAGGTGCTATTAAGAAAGCCTTGACGTTTCTGTGGGCGTTTAAGGGCAGACATGTCTGTTCCTAAAAGCAGAATGATTGCTCTGTAAATACCCAGCTCGTGATAACCTGTCTGGAGCTGTAGGGCCCCTTTTCTCTCTAGCACATCTCTCTGAAACTTCCTTACTTATTGTTGCTCAAAGATGAGTGTAACTGGGAAGGGACTGGGGGGGTTATACCCTACTGATCACACGATGCTGCTTATTTAAACAGTCTCCTGCTGGCCACGCTCTGAGTCCAAGTATTTCCTTCTCTGCAGCTACTGGGTGTGCACTTGTCCATTCTGCAGGAAGCTCTCACCCATCGGAAGATCGAAGCCAGATCTGAAGAGGTACCCAGTAGCTCTCTGTGACCCCAGGCAGCTGGGAGCCACCCCAGCCAGTGGTGACTGATGAGAAGCTCTGTTCTTTGCAGTGTTACAGTAAAACCAGATCACACTCTCCTCCATATCACCTTTCTCTTCTAGCCTAAGATGTTAAATTAAAACTTATTCCCCATATTAGAGGCTTACTGCTGAACGAAGTAGTATCTATTAAGAAAGCTAGGAAGAGGGACTTGCAGGCAGCCCTATGTTTGAGCCAAACAGCTTCCTTCTGTTCCATCCCTGGGGTGCTTCCTGGAAAACTGGCTGCACAAACAGAGGAAAGCACTGGGAAAAAACATTCTTTGAGCACTTGGTACCAAGTTTAATAATAAAACTAAAAGGAAGTCAGAATACTTTCCCCGCTTGTCTAAATTAGTCCTCTCCAAAACGTAGTATCACAATCCTGCTGGCTTGTGGCCGTACACCAGCCTGAGGTGACACTGATGGTAAATAAAGTTGTAGGCAGCTACAGTTAGGTAGGCTGAGAGCTGGGCTGTGGTATAAGAGAACATGGCTCATTCTCCAACCACAGGTGTGAATTGGCTTTGCAGGAGTTTGACCAGCTGTGGTGTTTATCATCTCTGGCATATCTTTATTTTTAGGTCCTGAGCCCTCTGAATGTGGATCTGGCATTCTACGCTCGGGATGCAGTAGCAAAGGCGATTTATGGACGAACTTTCACTTGGCTGGTCAACAAAATTAACGGCTCTCTAGCCAACAAGGTTGGTTTCTTGTCTGGTATCTTCCCAGACACTGAGTGCTCCTGACATGCTGAGCAGTTTCTCTGGGGAAGGTCCTACAGCACTCACCACCAAATATCTTGGTTGCTTGATAACTGGTGTAGGGGAATGCTGCAGCATTGAGCTGGAAAATGCTTTAGTTGGGTATGGAAGGTGGTGTGTTTAAGAGTTTTAGCAGTTCATTGCCTGCCTTAAAGTGGCTGCTCCATTGGCATGTGATACAAAGCTGTCGAAGGGAAAGCTTAACATTTAGGTGAAGGATGCAACATGAAACATGCAGGGGAGAAGCATGAGCTGAAGCAGCAATTACAGAGCAATAATATCTTTAACAGGATTCAACTCGGAAAACAGTTATCGGCCTGCTGGATATCTATGGGTTTGAAGTGCTGGACACAAACAGGTAAGGGCTGTTCCTGAGGCTTGGGGTGATCTGTCCTTGTGCTGGTGGGGCCATGTGCTGAAGTCTTATGTGGCTTCTGGAGTGTGGTCTCATCCCAGCAAGGCAAGCTACAGGTGGCTGCCAAATCTGAGGGCACTGGGCTAGGGAAAGCCCCTGGAGAAAGCTCCAGCTTGGGCTGCCTGCCTGGATTTGAGCCACTGGCACAACAGTGTGGGAGGAATGGGTGGCTTTGATCTGGATCAAAGTGGGCTGTCTGGCTGGAAAACTGTAGTGGTAAACTGTAACAGTGGTAAAACTATCCATGCAATAAATGAAAAACTAATCCTCATTTAACCACTCTGAAGCTTTGAGCAGTTCTGCATTAATTACTGCAATGAGAAGCTCCAGCAGCTGTTGATTGAGATGACCTTGAAAGCAGAGCAGGAGGAGTATGAACTAGAAGGAATAGAGGTAATTTATTATGTTCCCCCTCCCTTTTTTCTTTGAACTGCCATTACACTGGATGCTTTTGATCATCAATGAAGATGGCATCCTGTTTTTTTCTTCTTCAGTTTGAATTGATAAGGTCACAACACTGATCTTTACTGGGATTGGCATCTGGCTCCAAACAACTTAAAAATTTCAAGGCAAAGATTTCCTCTAAAGCTCTTCATCCTTTTTTTGTTCTTTTATTTCCAGTGGGAACCAATTCCATATTTTAACAACAAGATCATCTGCGACCTGGTTGAGCAGAAGCATAAAGGAATAATCTCCATTCTGGTAAGAGTTTGTGCTACTTAAATTAAAATGCCTGCCTGTTCCCTACTCTAATGGTCCATAATTGTATTTTTTCCTCTAATTATGTGAAGGGTCTGCATTATTCAGAATGTAAACAAATAGATATTGTAAACAAGGTCCAGAAGATTGAAGATTAGAGGATCTGCTTGCTAAAGAGCTGTGGGTTTTAAAGGAGTTGTGCTGCTTCTACAGAGACTCTGAGTGCTTGAGAAGGCAGACCTAGGCTATTCTCTCTACTTTTTGCCTGGAGACATGGAGAGATAGAAGGAAGGTACCTGCAGCAACCTGGCTGGCTTTAGTCAGCAACAGGAATGGGACCCAGCTTTCTTCTGAGTATTGTTAGGGAGACTGCAGAACACCAGGAGTACTTCTTCATGGCCACCTGAAGCCTTACAAGAGACCTCCAGGCTCTTGTAAAGATGAAAGAGGACAATTCATCCCATCTATCTGCTTACATGACTTTCTTGTTTTAATCTCTGACACTTCAAAGGGGCTCAGATAGGAGAGGAAACCTAAGAGCTGCCTACCTCCTCCTGGTCTTCCTCTTGTTTCCTTGCCCTTTAGTTGTTACTGCTTCTAAAATACCGATCTGAAGTTGTGCCTTCAAAGGGATGGCAGGAGAAATGGGAGAGGCTGAAGGCAGCTCTTTCCAGAGCTTTGAGCAAGGAGCTTGTTCTGCAATGGTGTGTAACGCTTCTTGCTTTGAGAAGTGGGGAGGAGTTTGATCACTCAAGCTACCACAATGATACTTTCTTGAATGCAAACTCTAATTAGTAAGAAATCTAGTAATCTTCCTGTAGAGATCTGTAGCCACACTTGAAGTTGCGTTGTTCCATGCCACTACTCTGACATGTCCACAAAGCCAAGAATTTTCATCACTTCGTTACAGGAGACAGAAATTAGTACATCGTAATCCAGAGAAGGTGCTGCTGAAGCTCAGCATTAGCTTCACATTGCAATGGGTTGCTCTTTCAAGCGGGGCTTGTTGTGTTTTTTGGGTCAAAAAAGGGTAATCTTTAAGCTTGTCTCCCCCCTCCAACTCTGTGATTCATCCAGACCGAGAGTCCTGCAGATCCTCCTGAATTTTGGTGTCTAATGATGTCATCTTTCTCATTGTTTTTGTTTAAGTGAACTACAAATAATAAAAATAATAGACAGTTTGGAAGAAAAAGGCAGATCTGACTGGATTTATCTTGATACTTCTACTGAAAACAGATAATCGAAGCTTTAAATTTAACTGGGAAATTGCCTGTATAAACCAGACCTCGCCTCAAATTGTATCCAAGCTCTTTGGTTTTGCATAATGAAGTTTGTAATATTTATCATCAAGGAGGGAGTGGTCTGTTCAGAGCAGCATTTGATGGAGTGCCTGCTGTTCCAGGATGAAGAATGCTTACGACCTGGGGAAGCAACTGATCTGAGCTTCTTGGAAAAGCTGGAAGAGAAAGTAGGAGATCATGCCCACTTCGTGACGTATGCATTTACGCTCTGTATCCTACTGCAGACGAGACTCTTCCCATCTCTTACCCATAACAGAGCATTGGGGAGGGAACATTTTTTGCTTTACACCAAAGAAAATCAAGCAGCCCAGCCAGTGTTGAAATGTGCTACACTGGTGGAGTATGTTCTAGGATATTGGGGAGGTGGTGGTGTGGGGATTCCTGTCTCTTTACTAGGGTGATGCTGATCTTTGAGTCTGATTTCATTCCATATTAAAATTGGGGACTAAAGATTAGATGGCTTTGGCCATGGGTGGCTTTGTCCCCCACTGACTCCAGGGGAAGCAGAAGATACTGTGAAGAGGAGTCTAATGCCCCAGGCTGTGGGGGGCACATAAACGTTTTTCAAGAGTCTATCTGGGTATGTGAGAGCTTTAGGTAGGAAGAGGAAAGAAGCATGGTCCTGCTCGTATCTCCCAGATGAGTGGTGTTTTGGTTCATACTCAATTTGTGGTATTTTTGGATGTGGTTTTGGTGGTAGATGAACACGTTGGTGCTGGGCTGTTCTGGCAGTTCCCAGCAGACGCCTGCTGAAGGGCTTTGACAAGCCATCAATTCTGAGTCACGCTGCTGAATTGTCACCCTTCCTACAGCTCTGAAGTTCATCACAGCCAAGTGGAAAATTTGTAGCCAACTTCCTTGTCACCACAATGTGCCTTAATACTGTTCTGCCTGATTAAAAGCTTTAAATAGAAGTGCTAGAGCTACTTAAATGGGATCTGTACTTGGCGATGCTCTTGGAAGGAAATTTTGATGTACTAATGTGCTGTTGTGACACACAACTCTGCTGTTAGTGACTGCTTACAAAGCTGAAACTTAAACTGTTAAGTTGCTCTTTTATTTTTTTTCTTTTCCTTTTTTTTCCCCCCCAGGAGTCTATGCTTTCTAAATTTTTCCTGCTATTCTTGAAAATTTTGATTTCTCCTTTGTATTTGGGTTCTTGTTCTAAGCCAAAATATCTCCAACAATCCTTCCCTTCCCTCCCCACCCCATTTTCACTTCAAAATTGAGGAAGCTGGTGATCTTTTTCTCATGTAGGCAGCGAGAATGTGTTTAAATTAATGTTATATGAGGAAATCTTAACAGTTCTGGAAAGGGTGGTCGTTGCCAAGTGGTGGGGATGGGTCACAGATATTTTGAGGAGTTTGTGGTAACTGACTCTTTTCAGCTTTTTCAGCTGACAGGGAATTTTGCTGTTAGCTGTTCCCAATGGACAGATAGATGATAATTCAATTATAGGCCATAACTGCGTAGTCAGAGCCATGTTGATAGAACAAACATTAAATAGACTCCCAGCTCTTCTACGGCTGCTTTTTGTGCAGGTGACTTTTGATAAGCTAAGGAAGCCAATTTGCTGCTTTTTCTCTTGTTGGGTTCTTTTTTTCCCCCCCGCAGTCGCAAGCTGGCAGACCAGAAGACACGGAAATCGATTGACTGGGTGGATTTCCGCCTCCTCCACTACGCAGGAGAAGTCACTTACTGTGCTGTTGGTGAGTGTGAACAAAGTACCAGCCTAGAAGTTACCTGAGCTTTTGAGCCAGCGTGGTAGTTAATAGCTTGGTGTGAAGATGAAATACAAAACATCTGCTCTCTGAAGGTGCTAAAATCTTAAACATGAGTGCAGCGGATATAAATTGAGGATATAAATTTCCAGCTTTTGTGTTAAAGCGTGTAGCTTTCAAAAGGAATTAAACCTTGGGATGTTGTTTTATTTTTCTTCAGGATTTCTGGAGAAGAATAATGATCTCCTGTACAGAAACCTGAAAGAGGTAAGAACAGAAAAAAGGCTCCTAAGTTACCTTGCTTGAAGTAGTGATGTTTGCAGGTGTATTTAATCTCTGTAGCAAACAACATGTATTTCTCCTGAGCAATGTTCTTTAGGCACCTCCATGCATGTCCTTACAGCTGTGCTGCTTGAGCTTAGAAGCCTGACAGTAGGAATAGCTGCCTGCTAAATAAGGCAGCTTTTCCTTTACCCTGTTTCAGGTGCTGTGCAACTCTAAAAATGCCATCATTAGAGACTGCTTTTTACTGTCAGAGCTCGACAACAGGAGGAGACCAGAGACTGTGAGTTTCATCTTTAGTCTGAATATATAAACTCAACTTCCCAAGTCTTGATTTAACCACCGATTGCATCCTTGGTCCTAAATTCAGTGGTTTATTTTTTCTTTTGCTGGTGTTACACCCCTGCTGGCATCCTGGTGGTTGAACAGGGATGTCGCTGAGGCAGCAGCTATCGGTGTGACATAACTTAATGTTGTTATTAATGCATTCTTCTAAAACAAGCCCTGTGCCCAGCATCCAATAGCAGTTAGCTTCTGAAGGGCTGCCTTGCGTGTCCAGCTGCATGGCAGGGGTTCAAATATTCCTGCTAAGCACAATGTCCAGGTAACTTATGATTTAACTGTGCTTCAATAGTTTTGTGCTACTACTGCATATGTCAGCCTTTTACTTAACATCTTAGTTTTAAGATGGGTGCAGGGAACAAGTTGACTTCAATTACTGCAGTGCTTGAGTTCCAAAGGCAAGAAACTTCTTTCAATTATGTCTTAGGTTGCAACCCAGTTCAAAAACAGTCTGATGAGCCTCATAGACATCCTGATGTCCAAGGAGCCTTCTTATGTCCGATGCATTAAACCGAATGAGAACAAGGAGCCTGGTAAGACATTGTGCTGAAGGCACAGCTGGGATAAAGGAGGGAGATTTTAGCTTGTAGCTAGGTACAGCAGATAAAATATATATATTTTATATATATACACACTATACATAGATTAAATATATATATATTTCTTGGTTAAGCTAGCAGCAAAGTCATCACCTTGGGTAACTGGATTTGATCCCTTCCTTATACATGAACAAGTGAGTTGAGCTTCCACAGCCAGTGTTTTCCAGTGACTACGTATGTCCTTACTACAGGGAAGTTTGATGATTATCTGATCCGACATCAGGTGAAGTACCTGGGACTGATGGAGCACTTGCGGGTGAGACGAGCCGGCTTCGCGTATCGGCGGAAGTATGAGCTCTTCTTGCAAAGGTGAGCAGAGCTGTTCTGCCATCAGCCAGGTGAACCTGCCCTCTCATGAGGGCTTCAGAGCAAGGTTTGCTTAAATATCAAGTCCTGGTGATACGAGGTGTCAGCAGACAGGTGGTTTTTTTTGTCTGTATGCACTTTGATCTGCTTTGGCATCTTCTGCCTTGAATAAAGCAGTAGGAATCTTGAGGGGAGAGCTTCAGGAAGGGAGTTCCTGAAATGTCAAGTCATTTGTTTTGATGTCTTGCTGATCTTTCAGGTATAAATCCCTCTGTCCAGCTACTTGGCCACATTGGCATGGCCCAGCAGCTGAGGGTGTGGAGAGGCTCATCAAGCACATTGGTTACAAGCCTGAGGAATACAAATTAGGAAGGTAAATTTCCTTTCTCTGGCTGGTCAGCTGCATGGTGCTTGCCATATTTGATCTTCTGTCTGTGACTGCCCTTCCCAGAGAGCTGCAAGACCTGGTGGTGGGAACTGATCCCTTTAGCTGGGCTCTTGTGTGACCATGTGAACCGGGTGGACCTGCCTGGGTCTGCAAACCTGATGGATTCTGATTTGTGATTTAGTTAAAAGAACCCAAAGTAACCTCACCCTGGAGGTATACAGTGCACAGGAGCAAGGAGACAGATAAAAAGTCTGGATGCATAAATTTCCTCTTTATTTTCCCCTTCCTGTTTCCATGGAAGCTCGAGTACAGCTGAGTTTCTTCCACCTCTGGATTAGGGGAGGTGGGCTGCCTTGCTTCAGCTCCATGTCTCCCTGCTTGCTTGGCCACAGGCAACTTGCCCGTCTTTGGCTTGGGTTCTTTTCTTAACTGTCCTCTGTAACCACTCCTGAACCACAGCCATGTCCTCCTTGCCAGGGCGTGGGGCAGGGCAGGGCTCTCTCATGTCACCTTCAACCTGTGAATGTCAGAATCCATGAATTAGGGCAGCTGAAACCATGGCTCACTGTGAATAAGCTGTTCATGGTCTCTTTTTCAGGACCAAAATATTCATTCGGTTCCCAAAGACCCTGTTTGCTACTGAAGATGCGTTTGAATTCAGAAAGCATCTGTTGGGTATGGTTCCAGTTCCCTTTGTCTGTCTGTAACTAAGAAGCAGAGCCTGGGTGAACTGTGTTTCTGGGCTCCAGGTTTGTGCAGCAGATGCACCATGGTGAGAGCTGAGCCCCCGATCTGCGTCGCTCAGGAGAGTCCAAGGAGAACTTCATAATCTTTTCCAGGGTGGGGAGAAATCATGAGCTATATTGCTTGAGTTCTAGACGTGTATCTCCTTATGTTTCCCCTGGAATTGGGATATACCACCCATCTCATCCTAGTGTTAGCTGTTTGGGGCTGCCTAAAGGCATGTTTACCTGTGCAGGCAACTTTTGGTCCTATTGGTGTTTTAGCCCTGTTGTTCCTTGGTGATTGTGCAGACCCTCCTGTGCCTTGGCATGTGGTGTCTGATTGCTGGGAGCACAGCTCCTGGATGTTCTGATCCTGTAGATATGAGCAATGTCTCTGCTGCTTTTTTTTTCCCCCAGTTTCAAGACTACAGGCCAAATACAAAGGATGCCTTGGAAAGAGAGCCTATGAGAAGAAGAGAGCAGCAGGTACGAGCTCTGGGATTGAGGAGTGTCTTAGGGCTGGGCTTTCCGATAGGAGCTGTAGCTTTGGGAGGTCACAAATCCATGTTGCTGCAGATATCACCTGCAGGGCTGTGGATGCTGGGCTTAGATGCAGGTGACAGTGGTATGAAGAGCATTCACAGAGGTCTGTTTAGCTCCTCACACCATGTGCTGCTCCTGGTGTCACCCAGGCATCAGCTGTGGGAGCAGCTCTGTGCGGTGGCAGCACCCTCTGCTGTGAGTGTGGGGGTGTTCTGGGGGGGTACCGAGGGCATTGCTCGTTAACTGCTGGGGGAACAAACCCTCTTAGCACAGTGGACAACCTCATAAATGATGCTGCAGGCTCAAAGGCCAGCTTTCTGAGATGAGCTGCTGGCTCTGTGCAGTACGTCACTGCCTGGCTGTTGAGCTCTGCAGTGCAGGTAGTGCTGGATCAGTTATTACAGAGAAAAAAATGTTCTAAACTTCTTACTCTAAAGATCAGCTGATGGGAAGAGCTACAGAAGAGCCAGTTATATCTTCTGCTATATGAATTTAAAGGATAGTATGGCACAGGATCTCTGATACTAATACAAGGACTTGATTGATTCTTGCAGCTATCAAGCTGGAGGCTTGCTGGCGAGGAGCACTGGCACGGAAGAAGGCCAAGAAGAGGACGTGGGCAGTTCAGACCATCAGGAAGTAACTATCATTGTGTGGTGGTCGTGAGGAAGGCTGTAGGTGACAGCATGGTGATGGTGTCTGGATCGTGAGTCCAGAGTACTGACCAGGGACTCAAAACCATCCCTTTCACACCCGTTTCTAAGCTCTCTGTCGTTAGGAGGACAGTTACCAGATGGGGTTGACCAGAAATGCCCGTGACCTCTTCAGGAATCCTGACTTGCACCAATTTCTGTTGCTCTGCCACTTTAGTTTGGTAGAAGGGATCTCCAAACCAATCCTTTGTGAGCCTGTCCGTTTTCTTCGTGTATGGTCCTCCCTCTCCACTCCCTTAAGCCCAGCTCCTGAACACTGCATCAGAAGTAGTGCTGATCTTCCTTTTTAATGCCAAAGCACAGGTTTTGGTCAACAAAACTTAGGAAAAGACTTAATTTTTGGAATATTATAAAGCTTAAGAATTCCATTGCTGTAATGTGGGTGACAGTGTACCTGAGTTAACGTCAGTGATTTGTTAGCCTGTTGTGTGCCTTCTGTGACTTGCCTTTCATTTCCACTGATCTCTGAACGTACTGTCTGAGTTCTGGTTTGGATATTTTTTCTGTAGATTCATAAATGGCTTCATCAATCGGAAGAAACCCCTTTGTCCAGAGAACATTGAATTTGTGCGGCTTGTGCAGTACAAATACTTCATGAAGCTCAGAGACCACGTTCCAAAAAATGTCTTGGACAAGAGCTGGCTTCAACCTCCTTCCATCCTGGAAGAGGTGAGGGTTGCTGCAGGCCCCAGGAGAGGTGAAGATGGCTTCTGTTCTAGGGTCATAGTTGTACACACTTAATGTAGGAAAAGAGCAGTGACCTCCTGCTGGCTTATCCTCTGCTCAGACACGATGGCAGAGCCTGTGGGAGACCCTGGGACCCTCTGGATTTGGGGGAGGATGGGAGTGGGAGGAACAGTGCTGTTTAAGTTTCCAAGGGAAAGAAGGGAGCTTGGTGCTTTTGTTTCAAGGACTAGAAAGGAAGGTGCGCTGACAGAAAAGTGAACTCCTGAGCCCTATTAGAGACAAAATTAATCCCATAATGTTTTAAGAGCAGATAGACCTGTAGCCTTTCATCTCGTTTGGGGTTTAGCAGCACAGGTCGTCTCAGCGCATGAATTGGAGAAACTCTGATTGCTTCCAGTAGAACTCTCATTTAGAAACAGCTGCTAACATTTGTTGTGGCCCCTTTGATCCTGCTCATAGCCCAGACCAGGCAGTGACCAGGGCAGATCATTCCCACACCAGGGAATGTGGCTGGCACTGGGTGGGTGAGATGGGCCCAGTAAATTAGGAAGCTCAGATGGAAGGTAGGGTGAAGAGCAATGCTGTGTGGTGCCGCAGTCTCATCTAGGGGTGACAGATGGAGTTTGCTGCTTTTAGTAACTCTAGTAATGACTCAGCTGCTTGGTGTTGCTCATCCTTCAGCTGCTGCTGGGCATTAACCCTTCTCTGGTAGCAAAGCTCTTTGGGACGTGGGGCTTTGGCTGGGGGGGAGCTCAAATGAGTTGTGACTAGATGTTTAAAAACAGCTTGTCCCAGGTGAGTATTTGTCAGGGCTGCAGCAGGAGCTGTTTGCACAACCTCACTATTTATTTTCTTTTCTTAATGTAGACATCTGAGATGCTACAGAAAATCTGCATTAGGAACCTGGTGAGGAAGTACTGCCGAGGTGTTACTGCTGAGAGGAAAGTGCAGGTAACTGACACGTGGAACACAAATGTTTGAGTTAAAAACATGCTCTCTGTGTGTGACACCTGCTCTCTGTGAATTGTCTGAACCACAGACTGCACCTTCTCACACACCACTGCACTTCTTATGAATAGGTTAGATCCATAAATAAGAAAAGATCTGTAAGACTGTTCAGTCCCTACTATCCCTTTAGTTGGTATAATACAGGAATAATCTAAAGATGGTGAAAGAAATGCCAGGTAGATATTGCATGAGTACACGGCTGATGCTGTGCAGTAGTGATGCCCAAGTGGTAACTGCTGATGTTGTAATTGTGATGGAGAAACTCTAAGAGGGTAAATGCTTTTCCTTCTCAAAACAGTTGCAGCAAAAAGTGGTAACAAGTGCTGTTTTCAGAGGGAAGAAGGAGGGCTACCTGCAGAGCATAAACCAGCCTTTCATGGACACCCGACTAAGTGAGTACATGACAAACCCCTGAAGGACTTGGCCACGTGCTCCTTGCTCAGGAAAAGTCTGTTTGACAAAACAGACTCAGTTTCTAAGGGAAATTCCCATCTGGCAGAAGCAGTGTCACCTCCTGCCTTTGGGCCTTACCATTTAAGTTCCCTTCCTCTGTCGTGTCTACTGACATCAAACAGATTAATCTGTCAGACTTTGCTCTCAAACGGTGGGTACCTGGAATCCCTCTTGGGACAGAGAGCCATAAATCAGAGCACAATTCCCTGTGGGCTGGGCTGGGTCAGAATCCAACCTCACTGTGCTGGGAGGCTGAGTGGGGATGTTGTGGTGCAGCATCGCCGGCTGCGGGGCATCCCAAGGACTGGAGCTGCTGGGAAGGAGAGATGTGGATCCTGGGAATCCACACAGTTGGTGTTGAGCACTTTATAAAAGGCCTGAGAAGGAAGCCCTGTTAGCACAGGGTGAGGGATTTGGGAGCCTGGGCCCGGAGTGGTGCCAGTGGTGTGTGGGTGCATTGCTGGGGTCGTTATGGGAAGCTCCCAGAGAGCTTCAGCAGGAGCTCTGTGCAGAAGGAAGAATGTTCTGGATGGTTCTCAGCTCAAGTCCTTCTGTACCAGGGCCTGAACCAAGAGAACAGCCAGTAACTCCCAGTGTGAATTACTTGTCAGGCAGGAAGAATGACTGAAAGGGGTTTAGGAGTGGCTGGAAGTGAACACCTTCAGTTTAGATTGTATTGAAGGGAGAAGGACTAATGGGATGAAGACAATTAATGCAGCTCTCTCGTGTTTTGCTGGTGGGAGTGGTGGCCATCTGTTGCCTACACTCAGAAGTTTATCTTTCTGGTTTGCTCCTTAGAAGAGAACGATATAAACCCCAAAGTACTGCAGCTCATCCAGGGCGAGAAGATCAAGGTAAGGGAAGGACAGCTGGAGCCCAGCAGCCTTTGGACCAGCTGGGTTGGAGTCCTGGAGCTGGACGGTCATAAAAATTGAGTGATTTGTGACACCTGAGACTGTCTTGCTTGTCTGTGTGGCCAGGGAAGCCGATGAATACCAGTGTAGTGAGTTTTTCCTTGCTTTTAAATTGGAGACAGGTCTCAAAATGCACCTAGGCAAAAGTAATTTAAGATTCCTTTTAATAAAAGCTTTAAAAGAATCACAAGCCATGGTTGGGCTGTAATGGACAGAAGTGCAGGGGTGTGCACTGCACTTCCATGGCTCTGGCATAGAGGGCACAGGTAAACCATCTTTCTCAAAGCACGACTCTGGAGTCTGAATTTCCAAGTATAAAGAAACCAGGTCGTGGTGAGCAGGAGCTGCTGTGACTGGGGTGTGTGGGGCTCCTCCTGACGGGGCTGCTCCTGGGGCAGGACCCTGCCACCGGGAGAAATGCTGAGACCAACCTCCTCCTTTTCAGTACGCGACCCCCGTGATAAAATACGACAGGAATGGGTTCAAAGCACGAGACCGGCTGCTTGTGCTCACCCAGTCCTCGGCCTACGTGGTGGAAATGGCCAAGATCAAGCAGAAAATAGACTATGCCACCCTGAAAGGTAAAGGTGGGAAGTCAGTGTGGGACCTCCCTTTCTGCCAGCAACACTAGGGGTGGAAAGATGAACGTCTGAAACTTGGTCTTTCAAAGATATTTGAAGCAATGATCTTTACCTGAGGACACTCTTTCTTACGGGATGGATAAAGGGTCTGTGTGTCAGCATGCAGTTCCTTGAAGTATAGATTATGAGTAAGAGGACACAGCAGTTAAAAATACTTAAATGCAGGAGGACATCACTTTCTGCTGAAATTGAGGGGAGGGAAAAAGCCCCGAACTCTTCCACCCCACTTTGTAGGCATTTTTTAATCCTACCATTGTCTGAACTACAGTCCAGAGGTGGAATATTTAAATTCTCCCTCCTCCCTTGCCAAAACAAAGGCAGCATGGAAAGGCAGGGAGCAAACAGCTAATGCACCGTGTTGAAATCACCACTGTTGGAAATGTGTTAGGGACAAGTGGGTGACAGAGAAAGTGATCTTCAGAAGGTATTTTGCAAACTAGGAAGATGATGGTGGTGGTGTGGAACTGTCTTTGGTAGTCTTTCCTCTAATTCTTGGATTTCTTTTGAAGGCATTTCCACCAGTAACCTGAGCGATGGGATTGTAGTCATTCACGTTCCTGAGGACAACAAGCAGAAGGTAGAAAATTGAAATTAGCTCCTGTGAGCTTGTGGTTAGAAGTAAGGTCTTGTAGCTGACAATTCTAATATTTTGGTAATATTTCTTTTTCACTATAAATCCTAATAGTCCCTAGAAAGCATGTGTAACAAACCAGACTTGTTCATCACTCTTGTCACTGCTGTGTTGTTATCAGTCCCTTCTGCACAGCAGTCACTCCTGCAGCATTACACAGAACCACAGAATGATGTGGGGTTGGAAGGGACCTCTGGAGATCATCTAGTCCAACCCCCTGCCAGAGCAGGTCCACCCAGAGCAGGTTGCACAGGAATGTGTCCAGGTGGGGTTTGAATGTCTCCAGAGGAGACTCCACCACCTCCCTGGGCAGCCTGTTCCAGGGCTCTGCCACCCTCACAGGAAAGAAGTTCCTCCTCATTTTTATGTGGAACTTCTTATCTTCGAGTTTGTGCCCATTTCCTCTTGTCCTGTCCCTGGGCACCACTGAAAAAAGACTGTCCCCATCCTCCTGACACCCACCCTTGAAATATTTATAGGCGTTGATCAGATCCCCCCTCAGTCTGCTCTTCTCCAGACTAAAAAGACCCAAGTCCCTCAGCCTTTCCTCAAAAGAGAGATGCTCCAGGCTTCTAATCATCTTTGTAGCCTCTGCTCCCTGTCCTCCTTGAACTGGGGAGCCCAGAACTGGACCCAGTGCTCCAGCTGGGGTCTCCCCAGGGCAGAGCAGAGGGGCAGGATGACCTCCCTCCACCTCCTGGTCACACTCTTCCTGATGCCCCCCAGGTTGCCATTGGCCGCCTTGGCCACCAGGGTACATGAGGAAGGAGTTTCTCCAAATACCTTCCTGATGCCCCCCAGGTTGCCATTGGCCGCCTTGGCCACCAGGGTACATGAGGAAGGAGTTTCTCCAAATACATCACTGCTGGATGGTTCGTGTGCTGGGATGATGGCAGATGACTTTATACCTCTCTTAATTTTTACATCACTGCTGGATGGTTCGTGTGCTGGGACGATGGCAGATGACTTTATACCTCTTTTAATTTTTATTTTTCTTTCCAGGGAGATGTGATCCTTCAATGTGAGCACGTCTTCGAGACGGTCACTAAACTCTGCATGCTGGCCAATAAGCAGAACCTCGTTAAAGTTGTGAAGGGAAGGTAAGGAGGGAAGTTGAATGGGTAGTTTTCTGTGGGCTGCATTTAATGGAAGAACCTGCTTCAAAACCTTTAGGCCTGGACTACCTGGGTCAAAACTATTACCATCACCCCAGCAGAAAGGTGCCCTCAGCTGGGGAGGTCTGCTGCAGTAGCACGGTGGTTTCCATGGCTTGCTCTCAGGCACAGGGGGAACAAGGTGGGATGTGCTGGAACAAGAAAATTATGTAAAAATCATTACAATCATTTCCCATGCTAATGAGGCTTGTTTCCATGATTGCTGTGGCTGCATCTTGCTCCACTCCAAGATCTGCCCATGACCCATCCGCCTTAAAACCCCGAGTTGTTTATAGGTGACTGTACTTGAAAAAAAGTGGTGTTTTTTTTAAAGCTTGTGCTGCTGTGACCTGGGCTGTGAGGTTGGGGGTTTAGGGGTTTCACAGCAGATCTCATTAGCAGCAGTGCTGAGGAAAGCTCGCTGGGCTGAGCCTGTGGGTCACGTCAGGATAAATGCTCCTCTCCCTAAAAGATTCAGAAGGTCCTGAAAATGTGATTGCTGAGCGCAGGAACCTTCCCAGTCACGCCACCAAGCTAATGGCAGGTGGATGCAGTCTGTCTCTCAAATCTCTACATAAATTGGAACTGGCATGTGAAACCTGTGCTTCTGCTCCAGCTTTTCTCTCTGGCCTTTGCGTTTCAATTGTAATTAGATTCTGTGTGTTCAGTGGTTTTTCTCCAGGTCAGATCTGCTTATCTTCTAGTGCTTAATTGCACCAGGAAAATTCAAATGCCCGCACCAGGCAGGCATCCTCCATTCATCAAACCCTTCTGGGTTGTGTGGTATAATGCAATTGTTTAGGAAATTCACCTAAGCTGGAGGGCTCTGATCTTCTAATCTAACAAGATTTGCCAAGGGAACAAAAATAAAGGGGGCTTAGAGTAAAGCCTATTGGGAGGGAAGCATCTCCTGAGTAATTGTGTCTGTATTTGCAGTCTCCAGTTCCGCATTGGCTCTGGGAAGGAAGGGACAATGGTGTTTACTGTTGGGCAGGAGCCTCAGGTCTTCAAAGCCAAAAATGGACAACTCACAGTGGTAAGGCCTCATCCAAGCACCGGGAATGTGACTCGTGCTTTCTCTTTTTGATGCTCAGCCCCTGCAGAAAGCACAGCTACGTTCTAGCAAGGGCTCTTTGTATGAGCTCAGGGGGACTCGATTCCTCTTACAGGGCAGGGAAATGCATGACATAATTACCCAGTCAGTATCTACTGACACAGGGTAATACAGAATCACAGAATCATAGAATGGTTAGAGTTGGAAGGGACCTTAAAGCCCATCCAGTCCCATACCCAGCCCTGGGCAGGGACACCTCCCACCAGACCAGGTTGCTCCAAGCCCCCTCCAGCCTGGCCTTGAACCCCTCCAGGGATGGGGCAGCCACAGCTTCTCTGGGCAACCTGGGCCAGGGTCTCATGGTAAAGAATTTCTTTCTAGTATCTAATCTAATCTGAATCTCCCCCCCTTTCAATTTAAAACCATAATAAATGGTCACTGCTGTGCTGGGAGTTGCAGCTATGCACCTTCCATGAATTGTCACAGCTGCTTACTCTCTCAGGCTGGCGTGGGGACAGGGGGTGAGGTTCTCTCCTGGTTTGGTCACTTAGAGAATCTGGCCTAAGCCCAAATCCAACACCTGCAGACTTCACCCCAGTCCCCCTTTCTCCACCTCTTGTGGCCTCCTTCAACCAAGTTGCTTCCGAAATGGGTTAGGGGATGGAGGGAAAGCATTTCTTGTCACCCAAGCAGGTTCTCTGAGAAGGAAGGATCTGGCTGCCCCAGTGGCAGCCTCTGCAGGGGAGAATGAATTCTGGCTCTGGGTGTAGCTATGAAAAAGTGGGGAGCTTTGCTTCTGTTCTTGCTCCCCATCAGGCAGGGACGTGCTGAACCTGCTGTTTATCAGCTCCTGGCTGGATGGCAGTAAATGGCAGGAGTGGCTGGTGGAATTGGGAAAAGATGTGGGTCTTTGCAGCTTCACTGGTGAGCTGAATGTGTTTGGTACTTCAGCTCCAAGGGAGAATTCCATGCTGAGGTGTGACGCCCTCAGGCACTGGTTACCTGTCCTCACAGTCTGGAGATGAAGGGAGTTGAAAAAGAAACAATACAACCTCTTTTCCCCACAGAGAGGGTACCTTAACTTAATGATTTCCTCCTTTTCTTGTCCCAGGTGTCAACCCAGGCAAGTTCTTGATGAGAAACAGCTCCTGTTCCTGGTCACCATCGTGTTTGGGAGCAGAAAGGAACCTGCAGGATGAAACCAGCGCTCGCGCCTCCCCAGGAATCTTTGATGCCATAGGGCTGCTGTGGTTTGAGAGTTTGCTTGCATCTTTTAGGCTCTTTTTTTATAGCTTAAAACTATTCGACTCTAGTTAAATAAATCCCATTATGTTGCTGTAACATTCCAGTGAGCACAGGTGCTCGTTACACCCTCACAGGGAAATGGTTAAACCAAAAGTTGCAGTTCCATCCGTAAAACATCTGTCTCTGTGCACTCAGAGAGCTCTGACCAGCCAGGAGGGATTAAGATAGAAGCAAAAAGGCTCCTCTGGCTGTACTTTGAGTCACAACTCACCAGAGAACTGCATCAAGGGCAGATCAATGAAGTTTAACTGGTCTGAAAACACCTTTCAGGCAGACTGGCAAAGCCTTTAAAACCAGCAGCAAGTTCTTCAGCAGGAGGAGAGATGGTTAAAAGCAGCAGCAGCAGAGCTGGTGCAGGTGGTTTAGTTGGTGCATCAGCACATGAAGCTGCTCCTGGGGAAGTTTCAGTGGGCTGCTTTTTTTTGTCTGCTCTGATGGGTGGGGAGATCTTTGCTTTTAGAGTTGAACTCTGCAAGTTCTCCCTGCACGGTGAAGTGGAAGCAAAACCATAAAAGATGACCAAAATGCCTCCTCTTCACGAGGGATGTGCTGGCCTGGTGCAATCCAGAAGAAAGCAGTCTCCTGCTGCTGAAGAACCTTCACCTCCATCCACAGAGCTGAGATGCTGCTCAGTCCAGAGTGTGGTAGGCATCACTGTTCCCTAGGGGGGTGATGTGCTGGCCTGGTGCAATCCAGAAGAAAACAATCTCCTTCACCTCCATCCACAGAGCTGAGATGCTGCTCAGTCCAGAGTGTGGTAGGCATCACTGTTCCCTAGGGGGGTATTGGGGCAGCTACAAGGGGAGAGGGGGGGAGACACTGTCTCTGCTCAAGGTCCTTACTCTGCTGCCTCACGTTGAGGCAAACTTGTGCAGCCCCAGCTTGCCTTGGCTTGGCTGAAATACAGCCTGGAGATCCCTGACTTTGAGTCCCAGGTGGGTACAGCCTCTGCCACCAGTTGTGCTGGGAGGTAGAACAACCTGGGGCGAGGGATGGTGTCTGGTGTTTCTTCCTGAAAGGTCCTTCCACCTCCATGGACCACGAGGCCAGCGTGCTTCAAACACGTAATAAAACAACTCACATGTAAATATGAAATATCTTCTAATTTATTGTGTTATATTTAAAAAAAAACCAAACAAGTACATATTGCAAACATCAACCATACACTGAAATCCAGCTTAAGCTTTTTTTTGTGTGTGCATAAGTATAAAGTGGGAGGGAATGATTGTTCAGAACAGAGGAATTTGCTGCTCTTGCCCTATGGACCAACCTTGTTAAGACGAAAGGTTCTACCTCCCCGTTGCTCTAAGGTAAGATGGAGCCTGGATCCACCAGGTGGAGCTCAGGGTGGGACCCAAAACCTGCCTTGTGGAAACACGGGAGGGACTGCTCTGGTTCTACAGCTGTACTGACAGAGGTGGGAGCAGACCCTCTCTCCAGCAGACTTATGCCAGGGGCTGGTGGTCGCTCCTGCCTCTGTGGTGTGGCTCTGTCTCACCAGCTGTAGCTTTGACTCCAGCTCTTCTGCACGACGCTGATGGACAAAATTACATCCACAAGATTTTAAGTCAGCTCCACTCTGCTGTACTGTCCTGGTTAGTGGCTGTTGTAGGGTGCAGAGAATCGGAGCAGACAGGTCTGTGCCCCCCCTGTTCACAGATAATCTCAAGAGCTGCTTCTGCCCCTGGGCCCCGTCCTCACCTGAAACCCCCAGAGGCAAAACCATTTACAGTAAAAAGGCTCAAGAGCTGAGAGTATTTGTGCAATGGCATTAACAAAGTCTCTCTCCACAGACCAAGGACAAGGGGGAAGTAGGTAAAGGACGTTCCAAGGTGACAGCGACACGACTTCACAAGCACAGCAGGCAGAGGGTTAAGTCAGGAGTGTGTTAAGGCAGAGTCTGCCCATAAATGCAGTAACAAAACTGAAACTTAAACTCTGGGGCAGTGACTTACTAAACCAATAGCTATAGAAACTGCTGTACAAAGACTAAAAATAATCACCCCCTGGGTTGGTTTGTTGTGTTTTTTTTAAGAACTTAGTTTGCAAAACCTGAAAGAGGAAATCCTGAAGCCAGTTAAGAATCTATTTACAGAGAAGTTAATCACATAGATGTGATCTGTCAGGTGCTTAGCACTGGTGTCACCACATGCCACCTCCTGGAGCTGAACCTGCTCTCACACCACGGGCTGTGACTGGGTTTTGTCTGGGTGGCTGGAGCCTCCCCAGGGAGCTCAGCCCAGCGAGGATGAAGATGGTCTGTCCCTCCTGCCTCCCAGGAGAGAGCCTGAATGAATGCAGCGAGCAGGGCTGGTGTATTCTAGAGCAATGGGCCACTGATGGTGAGCAGGAGCACAGCGGGACCACCGAGACAGGGGAGTCAGACTGACAGCACAGAGTCAAGACCCCTTCAAGGGCAGTGGGGCTGTTACAGCCACCCAGACACCCATAAACAGCCCAGTAACATACCAGTAAGTGTCAAAGTACACAGCGCTGAAGGAACCCAGCAATCCAGAGGACTTTCTTTCCCTGCTCCCCAGCTTATCACACGAGGAAGGTAAGAGGGAGAGGCACTGGGTCCTTCACAACAACCGTCTGCACTATGGACGTCCACACACCCCAGGTGTGCTGCAAACACACGGAAATACAGCTTAAAACAGGAAACCATTAGGGTGTAGCTGAAGCTGCCAAACTACAGTATAACTGACAGAGCTGTTTGCTCTTGAGCTCTTACTTATAGATCAGTAGCTGAAGAAGAAAGAGTAGAGGAGACAGGTACGAGATACGGACACCAGCTGTCTGGAACTCAGGAAGTCTTTGGTTACTAGAAGGATGACCTCAGCCTCACGTTGGAATCAGTTTAGCTTCACTTGATGATCTGAAATTGTACCACTGAGCAAACACTTAATGCTTAATTCAGCCTCTACAGACAAGCTATCCATGGTTTGGGATGTAACTGCTCTTTGAAACAGAAGCGTTGGAGTAACGCAGCTGGTGATGCTGACAACACCTTTGGTTTTTAATACATTATCATGCCATTAACGGCCCTGAGGCAGGAGGAGGAGGAATCCTCCCAGCAGGAAGTCAGGCAGAGGCAAATACCCACCTCACTGAGGAACACGGAGCTGCTGCTGCCCTGCAGGAGATGTCTGGCCATCAAGACCAGCTCCGGATATTCCAGATGAAGGGTCAAAAACCTCTAAAGATACCAAAGTTCTCTGGTATCTGCCAAAGTGCCAGCCTGGTTGTGAGTTTAAGACTTCCTCTGTAGGGTTTTCCTCCCTCTCAGGATTTGTTACATTAACCATTACAGCTGTGGCTCTGCTCATTACCCTTTAGCATCCAGTCCTACTGAATAATACACGATCTTCCACTATAATTATTACTTGACTCCACAACAGGCAACAAGAGACGAGGAGGTAGATAAAATATTCATTTATAATAGAAAAGTACTCTTAGAAAACTAGACTAGAGAGCTCTTCTCTACGCAACATTTTAGCTCTGCCCTTTCACACACAGCTGCCATTTCTGAAAAGACTTGGAATATGCTCAGGATAAAGTCAAAACAAGGAATAAGTGCCTCTGGGCCGCTGTCTACTCCTCTTCCTCATGGTACTCGCGTTGCCCTCGCTCAAAGCAAGACGATGCTCCTGTATCAGTTACAGAACTGAACTCTGGCTGCTGGCCTCCTCCCGACACCAGCCTGGCACGGAGTGTTTGAACCCAGCCATGACCACAAAGCTGAGCTTCCTGACCCACGGGCTGGTGGAAATCAACTCTCCAGCCGAGACCGGGGCTCAGGCGGAAGCTCAAAGCGCTCACTGGTACCAACACCACCCCAAGGAAAAGCAATCATCGCATACAATTTGCTCCCAATCCTCCTTTTGGAGGAATTTTAACATCATTCACCCTTGATTCGCACGGATAAAGCAGGGACAGGTCTCCAGAGCTCAGTGCTGCAGGAGTTTCACTGAACCCATCAGGGAGCAGGTCCCAAGAGCTGCAGGGAGCCACAGCCAGCCGAGCCCGAGCAGCTCCCCCTGCTCCCTCTGCCCCCCAGCACTACAGGAGTCACGTCAGCACGTGTCACTTGTCCTTCCCGGCGTCACCGAGGCACTCCTGAGCTACCAACCCTGTCACCTACAGACCTGGGAGACAGGGAGCTCTGCAGTAGCTCTGGGGTGTTTCAATCACTGCGCTTCTCTCACCCCTGCAGGTCTAGGAGACGGGGTCACCCAGTGCCCAGGGGGGAAGGTGTGTGGCTGACTGACCTTTTTTTTGTTTTGTGGGGGTTTTTTTGTTTTGTTTTTAAAGTGCAGGATAATAACTAAAGCCAAAGGAAGCCAGCCCTCTTCCTCTCTAGCCACAAAACAGCAAAGACAAGAGTGCTAAAAATTCAGGGCATTTCTCCAGCTGCTCAGTGAGTCCTTACAGTATCTAGCGTTATGCCCAGCAACCTTATTTATTCTTCTCCTAGAACTACCGCGTTTAAATATCCCGAATAACCTAATTTGTTACCAAAAAAAAGTAATTTACAGACTTTGTTGGACAGAAGTTAAACCACCTGGTCCTCTGCTGCAGCTGATCCGTGGGAGGAAGGGCAGCACCTTCAGGACAGAGCTGGGTGCTCCGCGGCCGTCGGTCACTGATGCAGGTGGGCCCTGTCGTCCGGACGCTTGATGTGAATTCTCCGCACGCGTTCGATGCGCTCTCGCTCCTCGTCTTCCTCCAAGTGATGGGAGCGACCAGCAGCTCCCCCCGTGGCTTCCAAGAGAGCATTGTCAGGTCCCCTCCCGTCCTGGGACTCGTAGAGCAGAATGTTCAGTGTCTCCTCGTAAATGCGGGCTTCTGGGAACTCCACCTGTACCCCCCCGAGAGAAAGAAAGTCACTCTCCCCGACTCCAGCCACTGCAGGCACCAGGTTACCTCATTTCTAATTCTGGTTTAAAATTTCTTAACTGCTCTCCAGCCTCCTGGCACAATGGTTTCTGTTTTATTATTTGCTTTCAGCTTTTGAGACCCAGCAACCAGGGTGGTTTTTTTTCAGAACCAGCTTGCCCACAGGGCAGACTCAGACAGATTTCTCCCAGGAAAGAGACATCCCCACAGACAAGGAAGGCATTGGCATTGTTCAGTAGGACCTGTCTTTACATGGAGATGTAACCCAAACTTGGTTCAGCGAGAAAGTTAGGACTAGCCCTGAGGAAAGGGACTTGGGGGTGCTGGTGGATGAGAAGCTGGACATGAGCAGGCAGTGGGCAGCTGCAGCCCAGAAGGCCAATCCCATCCTGGGCTGCATCAAAAGCTGCATTGCCAGCAGGTCCAGAGAGGGGATTCTGCCACTTTACTCTGCTCTGGTGAGACCTCACCTGGAGTATTGTGTGCAGGTCTGGAGCCCTCAATATAAGAAGGACATGGACCTGATGGAGAGGGTCCAGAGGAGGGCCACGAGGATGATCAGGGGGTTGGAGCACCTCTGCTACGAGGACAGGCTGAAGGAGCTGGGGTTGTTCAGCCTGGAGAAGAGGAGGCTCCAGGGAGACCTAATAGCAGCCTTCAGTACCTGAGGGGGCTACAGGAAGGCTGGGGAGAGCCTGTTTAGAAAGGCCTGCAGTGACAGGACGAGGGGCAATGGCTTCAAGCTGGAGGGGAACAGATTTAGACTGGAGATGAGGAGAGGGTTCTTCACTGTGAGGGTGGTGGAGCACTGGGACAGGTTGCCCAGGGAGGTGGTTGAGGCCCCATCCCTGGAGATATTCAAGGAGAGGCTCGACGAGGCCCTGGGCAACCTGGTCTAGTTGGGGGGGTCCCTGCTGACTGCGGGGGGGTCGGACTAGATGACCTTTGGAGGTCGCTTCCGGCCTGGGCAATTCTATGATTCTATGATGATTCTATAAAAGTATGAGGAAGTTTGGCTAAAGGTAAAGAACTGGACTGAACTTGCATTAGGGACTATCAGGACTGCCACAGCCAGGTCCCCGCCCCACCAAAACCACAGGATGGGCTCCCCTGTGCTGCTCCCACTTCAAAGGGCATTGATTATTCTATAGCCATACCCAACAGTGAAAGGAGTAATTAAAAAGGAACAGAAGTCAGGGTGCCAGTCTGACAGCAGCCAGGCTCGTTGCTGGAAGTTTTTGGGGGGTTTGCTCATACCTTGGTCTGTTTTTTCTCAGTAGCATAAACGATGGAAGTGCAGCAGACCTCGGCGATCTTCCGCCCCTGCCCATAGAAAGACCAGCAGCAGATCTCATCCCCAATCACATCTTTTATAAAGAGGACTCTCCCGTTAAACCTCAAGGAGAGCTTGTCAAACAGCTCGATGTTCTTCAGCATGTTGTCATCAGAGTTGCTGCGAGAGGGGGAGGAAGGCAGGGGTGAGGGCAGGGCCATCGGGAGAGCACGGGGAACAGAAGGGGGTTCAGGGGGTGTTCACAGCCCCCTACACCCGCTTTCTTTTGACTGACTTACTGTGTCTCTACCAAGGTAGGGTTTAGCTGGTACCCAGGGCCGCAGGGGGTAACTCATGTGACTAGTACAAGCAGGAAAACCTGCTGCTGAAGAAGCAGTAACACATCAACAGTCCTGGGAATAATACTCCCCAAGGCCATTTCAGTCCTGTACCAAATTCTATCACCCAAATGAAACCATTCCTGAGCTCAAGCTCTGCACCAGCTGGATGGAAACAGCCTGATGTCATAAAACACACACAGGCATAAGGAAAGGGGGACAAGGTCCCAGGCTGGACGACTTTACTGCTTGTTGAGAACACTGCACCATGGAGCTGTTGGAACAGGTCCAGCAGACGGCCACACAAACGCTCCAAGGGCTGGAGCCCCTCTGCTGTGAGGACAGGCTGGGAGAGTTGGGGGGGTTCAGCCTGGAGAAAAGAAGGCTCCAGGGAGACCTTCTAACAGCCTTCCAGTACCTGAAGGGGCTACAGGAGAGATGGGGAGGGACTTCTGATCAGGGAGGTGAGCCATAGCCAAGGGGGAACAGTTTTAAACTAAAAAGAGGGGAGATTTAGATGAGATACTAGAAAGAAATTGTTTGCTGTGAGGGTGGTGAGAGCCTGGAACAGGTTGCCCAGAGAAGCTGTGGCTGCCCCATCCCTGGAGGGGTTCAAGGCCAGGTTGGAGGGGGCTTGGAGCAACCTGGTCTGGTGGGAGGTGTCTGTACTACAGGCAACAGGTGTCCCTGCCCAGGGCAGGGGAGTTGGAATTCGATGATCTTTAAGGTCCCTTCCAACTCCAACCATTCTATGATTCTATGAAAGGCTTCCTGTATTCAACTAATGGCCAGGAGGCTCTGCCAGCTGCACCCAAGTGTAAAAGGAACTCCTCTGCCACAGAAATAGCACATGCTGAGCCTTCCACTGATGACAGTAGGCTCCCTTCTGACTTGAGTTTGAAATTAATTGGGAAAAAAATTGAGTGCATGCCAGCACCTGTCTCTCAATGGTTCTGAGTGAAGAAAAAGCAAATGCTTATTATGGATTTTAGTCTATGAAAAACTTCAAAGAAGTCCAGCTGAAGTCATTTACCTGGTGTAGGAATATTTGTTGTTGCTTCTGTTATACAGCAACTTCACTGCTGGCTGTAAGAAACAAAGCACAGAGGAGTTACGGGAAGCGCGGTACGAGCTGGGAGCTCAGCTCAGTCCAAGACCCCACAGCAGAGGAGCCACAATATGACACGACACCGGCAGGCTCAAGCCCAGTGGGATGTTGTTGTTGCTGCAAAACTGTCACACACGGGCTGGCAATGGGGCTGCAGTCCCTTCTGACCCCTTCTGTGACTAGATCACAATCTATTCTTACCCGTTCTCTGCCTTTTTGCCAAGGTTAATCACTATCACCAGCACCCTCCCCTCTACCTGCCAGCGAGCAGCCTCCCAGAAAGAGGAGTCATCGATTCACTTCAGCTAAAGAAAGTGTCTGTCATTAATAATCAGAGTGGATAAATAAATGGAAAATCCAGTAGCCCCGGGGATCTGCTCGATCAGCTTGATACCATCTACACCCTCTATTTTAATACCTCATGTGGAGAAATACATGGCCAGGCCCAGCCTGAGCAACACTTTTAATTCAGAAGAAATGTTTAGTCTGCTGCAGATTTTCAGTGCTTTGCAGCTCAACAGTTGAAGTGTGTGTATTTTAGGGTAAACCCATTGTTGCAAACTAAAGAATTTTCTAAAGAATACTTGGTCAAGCTCCCACATGAGCCCACGGCTGCCCCCTCCCAACCCCTGGAACAGCCCAGCCTCCCTTACCTTGTTAGAAGTGGCTATAAGTTTTTGCTCTTCTTTGGAAGATGTGATGACCGGCACCTTGCAGAACGGTTCATACGCATCTTTGTTCTGCTGAAACGAGAGTCAAACAGCAGCTGAAGCTTCACTCAAAGAGTAATAGTGGCTTCAAACCTCACATGAGAATCTCAGAGGAAAACAAAGAACAAATCAGGACTCCCAGCAGCCCACGGCTACAAGGAGCTGCTCTGGTCTGGCCAAAGCAGACCCCGTTCTGGTCCATGCTGGAAGTATTAACTTTTGCCTCAGAGCTCGTGCTGATGATGGAGAAGAGGTAACAGGCACAAACTTCAACATAAGAAGTTCCATCTAAACATGAGGAGGAACTTCTTCACTTTGAGGGTGGCAGAGCCCTGGCAGAGGCTGCCCAGGGAGGTGGTGGAGTCTCCTTCTCTGGAGACATTCAAACCCCACCTGGACACCTTCCTGCACAACCTGCTCTGGGTGGACCTGCTCTGGCAGGGGGTTGGACTAGATGATCTCCAGAGGTCCCTTCCAACCCCACATCATTCTGTGATGGGTCATTTCACCCTGGCAGCAGCAGAGAACACTGCAGAGGAGCCAGGCTGCTGCTCCCTGCTGGCTCCCAGGAGTCAGCAAAGGGAAACTGAGCAACAGTTTATCCCTCCCTATAACTGGGGAGCACTAAATGTCGAGAACAACTCAGTGCATTTTTCTGGATGTGACCAGACTCCAGCAGATCAATGACATGAGGTATTTCAATTCCTCCCAGGCTCACAAAGACACCAAGTGGAGGCCAGCAGAAAATCTTGCTCTGCCCAGATGCTGCTTCCCACATGGAGCAGCCTCTTCTTTTTGACCCCTCATTGCAGCCAGAGCGACCAGACCCCTCCTCAGCCCTGCGACCTACCTGCAAGGCTGCCTGGCACTCGTCCACCAGCCCCTGCACCAGGTAGTACTTTGCTTCAGCCAACAGCTCTTCTATCTCCCTGCGGCTCTCGGGGAGCGGCACCGCCCCGTCCCGCAGGTAGTTCAGGATTGTCCCAAAATGTTTTCCACAGCGGTCGATGAGGATCCAGCCTGGGGACAGAGGGAGAGCACAGTACAGGAGAAGGGGAGATAAAGGTGGCAAAAGGCCTTGACATGGGTCTGGGACTGCTGTACCAAGCAGGCTCCTGCCAAGGGAGGCTCACTCCAGTTCCTTGTTCGAGCTGGCGAGTGGAGCAGCAGAAACACAGGGCATTTATCATCTCCCTCTGCATTTCAAGTGCAGAGTCCATGGGAGTAAGGCAGGATGCTCACTTGTTTCTCTGAGTTACCCAGCTATTGACAAACGATTAACTGAAAAAGAGGAATGAATACTTCTCATTCTCAAACGAACCAGCTCTGTTCTCCCTCTGCTCCCAAAGCCCTGACATATTATTTTCTTGCCTTCTACCTTCAGGCCGTTACACACACACGTGGCTGTTTCTTACAGACAGCTCACTAGAGCCAAGCAGATGTGACCATCTAAAGATTGCTGCACCTGAACACAACACGGGGACCCACCATGATCCACCATCTCCAGTCAGTGTGCAAAAAAGGTCAGCATGAGAAAGGCAGCACAGACTTTGGCAGTGTCATGGCCATGACAGGACGAGGGCTAATGGTTTTAAGCTGAAAGAGGGGAGATTTAGATTAGATATCAGGAAGAAATTATTTGCTGTGAGGGTGGTGAGGCGCTGGAACAGGTTGCCTGGACAAGCTGTGGCTGCCCCATCCCTGGAGGAGCTCAAGGCCAGGTTGGATGGAGCTTTGAGCAACCTGGTCTGGTAGGAGGTGTCCCTGCCCAGGGCAGGGGGTTGGAAGTGGATGGTCTTTAAGGTCCCTTCCAACTCCAACCATTCTATGAGTCTACTCTACGAAACACTGTTTCACCCTCTACATTCCCAAAGGATGCATTAACGCATTAATTTGGTAGAACGAGGTCTTAAACTGCTGAAAGACAAGACGTGACAGCACGTGTCAGCAGAATGTGAAGTACAGCCCCTGCCCTGGAGCTCCATGATGTCAGTCCCCCATGGACTGACAACGGGGTGAAGAAAAGCCAACAAGAGCTACAACCGAAACGCTCTCCTGTCAGCTGGCAATCACAGGATTCCCTGCTTCTCCTCTTCTTCCCAGCCCCTTGCCTGAATCTGGCTGGTCCCTGAGAAACGTTAGGCAACGTGGAGGCTGGAGTTTCCATGAAGGAACAGATGGCCACTCTTACGGGCTGCAGCTCAGGAATGCAGCGAGGAAACGCTTGTGGGGAAGGAGTCATATTTTGGACAAATAAGGAAAGTAGGTTAAAGCAGACCCTGTGTGTTCTTGCATGAATGGAATTACTAGTAAAGTCTGAACATTTGGTTCAATTTGGAAAGCCAACACAGCCCTTTCATGCTGTTCTGTGGAAAACCCAGACACTCTCCAGCAGTTTACTGCAGGCTTTCCATCTCCCTCGTTACCCTGCTGTCTACATAAAACACAATGTGTGCTCCCAATTGTCATTTTACCGACTGTGATAACAAACGAGAAAGCTGGAGGCAGGAGAACTAGAGACAGAGAAATCAAAGAATAAAAGACTGATCCAGGCTAACGGATACAGTATATACCTAACCAACCAGAGCAGAAAAGAGCCTGTTGGTCAGTGCAGAGGTATGTACAGCAAGATCTCCTGTCTTAAAGAGAAGAGGAAGCACAAGACATGGTGGTAAACAAGGACATCCCTACTCCACAAAGGACAGAGTTTACTGGAGCACCCCAAGGTGCAGGGAGGGAGCAGAATTATGATCCCCAAACTTCTTTGTTACCCCCTCCATAGGCTGTAAAAATCTGCTTAACTTTCTGTTTACAGATGGCGAAACTCAAGCCGAATTGCTCATTTTCAGGTGGGGGGGGGGGGGGGGGGCTGAGAAAATATTTGGAGCAGCATTGCAAAATCCAAGTGACTGCTAAAACAGCTTTCAGAAAACCGTCTGTTTTACCCAAACAGCCAAACGAGATGACTCACAGGAACACGACCCTGCTGCCACTCAGTCACGGCTGTGCAGGGCCCAAGAAGTGGGTTTCAGCTTTAGCCTTTCAAAGCCATTTTTTAATTGCAGTCTCCCGTGATCCATTTACCGAGGTAGGGATACATAATCCATGAACTGCACGCACACACATTAGACTTGCAGGAAATTAATCTTTTGTTTTACAAGCAGTCTCAGGGACAGCATCCAAACACTCAAAACGAAGCCAGGCTACATTTTCGGACCGAGGCTTGACAGATGAAATAGCAGCCTGACACCACAGACTGCCTGATGCCCAACAGTCTCACCAGCAGCTGAACAAAAATTGTGGGAGGGGGGGCGGGGGGGCTGAGAAAATATTTGGAGCAGCATTGCAAAATCCAAGTGACTGCTAAAACAGCTTTCAGAAAACCGTCTGTTTTACCCAAACAGCCAAACGAGATGACTCACAGGAACACGACCCTGCTGCCACTCAGTCACGGCTGTGCAGGGCCCAAGAAGTGGGTTTCAGCTTTAGCCTTTCAAAGCCATTTTTTAATTGCAGTCTCCCGTGATCCATTTACCGAGGTAGGAATACATAATCCATGAACTGCACGCACACACATTAGACTTGCAGGAAATTAATCTTTTGTTTTACAAGCAGTCTCAGGGACAGCATCCAAACACTCAAAACGAAGCCAGGCTACATTTTCGGACCGAGGCTTGACAGATGAAATAGCAGCCTGACACCACAGACTGCCTGATGCCCAACAGTCTCACCAGCAGCTGAACAAAAATTGTGCATCTCAATCAACTGGTTAAAAAGAGGTGGGGAGTGAGGGCAAAAAAAAAAAACAAACCAAAACCAACAAAAACCACAAATCACAGCGCAGAAAGGAAAATTGGAAACAGATGGATGCACCTGGAAAGCTCACATCCTTCTATCTGCTCATTACCATCAAAATCAAATTTTCAAAATGTGCAGATTTGCTACAGTTCGTGAACAATTCCTAAGCCAAAAATAATCATCTGCCACCCACCACCAGATAACTCCAGCCTTTTCTCCCCCTGCCCGACCAGCAGCACGGTGCAATTGTTAAGCTTTGGGAAGGAGCTGGGGAGATGGTGCTGGGGTCAGAAGAATGCACCCAAACAAAGAGAAGGCCCCCCCCATTTAAAAACTTGACTCCTTCCAGTTTCTCCGCAAGCCCCGGCTTCTTTTCCAAAGAAACACATTGTTTTGTGCCAAATTTTGGGTGTGACCAATTAGCAGCATTTTGAAGAATTTCAGATAAAAAGAGTTTCCTTTAACAGCTCTAATGCCATTGTCCCAGTTTCCAGCATCAGGCCAGGCAAAGGGAGATAAAGCAAGAGCTACTGCACTGGGAGTGTCTCGGTTACAACACACAGGAAGTATCAAATTCCTATTAAAACACAAACTGGCTACATGGAACAATCCCACGCAGACACTGTGGGATTCACAGCAAAATAAACTCCTGATTTTACGTTTTAAACATGATATTTCAGCAGATGAAACTCTGGTTACCTTCGTATTAGCAATAATATTGTCAGCTGCTGCTCTCCAGCAAAAAGAACCTGGTGTTAGATGGACTCTGAGCCCTGGGAACACCACGTCCCAGCGCCGCTGCGGCACCTGCCCAGGACGCCCGGAGGAAGCGCCGAGACCCCGCCAGGGGGGGCTTCCAAAATTAATGTGGAATTTCCGATTCATTTCCAAACTGATGGACTTGAGAAGCCTCGAATTATTAAATTTTATACAACACAGAGCAGCTTTAGGGAGGGACGGGAGGATACTTTTGGAGCTGTCTGAATTTTAGTAGCAAGGGGAGAGGGTCTTCAACGAACTGGTTCACAACTAGAACACCCCTCCAGTCTTCCCAGTAAGGGTGCTGATTCCCTTTTTCTTTTTTTTCAATTTGACCCATGGGCTGGCTTTTTTATGCACCCTGCACAGACCCATGGGAGGGAACCCAGAGCCCCTTAAATCTGGAGCCCACAAACCACAGCTCTGGTTTACAGTAGCTGGAACTCACAAAAGGCAGAGTGTAACACCTGGAACAACACAGCTTTTTCCCCCAAGCTTGAATAGAAGGACTTCTAGCTAAAATAGGAATATTCAGATAATTAGGTTGTATTTTTGACAGGTTTTTTCCTCCAAATCCACTTCCTCCTATCTTAAGAAAGCTTATCACAAGACCCCAACTAAATCCCTCACTTGTTCCACATGACCTCTAAATACAGACTATTCTAAAGCACTCAAACCCAAGTCCAACTCATCTAACCACGTACTACATTTTCTATGCTTTCAGCAAGTTCAAACAACAATTTCAAACAATTAACTAGTCACAATAAAGGTATTTTGAACCTTTAGGCTCAGCGATTGTCGTGGTTTGGGCAGTAGCCATTGTTAAAGATGAGGTCTCCCAGTCTATAAACATAGTTATGGGCAAAACGTCAGCGCCTAAATAGAAAGTTGTGCTTCCAGTTCAGCTGTGTGGCACTCCCACAAGGTGAGAACGCTCACAAAACCACCCTACCAGCTGCAGTTATCACAAACACATTTTAGATGGATTATTAATTTAAACAGAAATGTTTTCAAGAATCTCAGCAGAAGATAAAATCAACATATCTGGTAAGAAAGGGAAGTTTTTGAGCGCTGCTCCTTCAGAAGACTGTAGTTTGACATCTTGCACATTCCTTCTTCCCAAACACTTCTAACACAGTATTTGCTAGCTCTCTCTTTTTATTGTTAGTAATACCACAGCAAATTTTCCTCAAAAATTTACAGCTGGTTTTGTTTCAGTGAAGCCAACAAGGCTTCACTCTCACAAGAAAATAGTTTTAATTAAAATAAATCAGCTTTTAGCTCCTAACTCCCCCCCTCCCCCGATCTTCAGAGCAAATTTGAGACTTGGATTTGAGGTGAGGGAACAAGATGAGGGAACTGCCTTCTGAGCTTCAAAGTAAACACCCAAGTCCTGACTCATAGTTCACTATCCCCACCATTTTCCATGGGCTTTAGCATTAGTATTTTAAAAGAAACATAGTCTGTGCTATCCAGGCCTGACAGCAGCCTCAGGGACTCGTTACTGTCCTTTGTGTTTTTTAGACAACTATTCAAGTCCTACATGTCTTTTGTTCCTTCCACGCCTTTTCTCAGTCGTACAAGTTATGAGTTTTACCACTAGTAAGATGTAGAAACATCTGGGCCTATGACCAGATGTTCCTCTCTGCTCTCTAATATTTTTTCTCCAACGCCAATTTTCTCCAATTTTTCTGACTTTTTTTTTTTTCCACTGAAGAGGAAGGACGCCGGCGCGAGGGACGCGGGGAGCTGCCCCTTACCTTCGCTGTCCGTGAGGACCTCCATTCGGCCACTGAACATGGCCTTGAGCATGGTGTCCTGCTTGGTCAGGGTCTGCATGGTGGTGTAGTAGAGGGCACCGCCGACGTTCAGCTTGACATACTTGGAGCTGGGACTGGTCCCTTTGAAGGAGGTAGTGCGAGTGGCAGCCGCCGGCACCGCTGAGCTCACCACACTTTCTCCCGACATCTCTTCCTGCAGGCAAGGAGCTGTGGGTTAGACTTCCAGTTCTACTTTGTGACACCCAATTTCGTGTTACCGTCAGTCATTTGACCCAAAAGGAGTCATAAATGGGCTGGGCATTATCAGCCTCGGCTCCTCTCTGCCTCTTTGCAAAGTTCTCAAATGTTTTAGACGTTTAACTTTGTCTTTTTTTTCTGACAGTGACATAAACCAGGCAAAGAATGTAAATCAACTCAGCCAGTGAAGGACGCTGTAGAAGCTGAGCAGCGTTTTACGCTGCAAAAGCCAGTACTTTCCCACAAAACTGCATTCATTTCTTTCTTTCTTTCTTTTCTAAAGCTTAAGCTCTTACATCATGAATAAACTGGTATGTAACTGGGCAAATCCCAATACGCAGAGCTTGAGCAGATGATTCCTGTGTTAAACTGCAGACTATCCACGGATTTTCTTAAAGCTTTTTTTCCCCTTAAGGCACACGAGGTGCTACAAAGAGCACACACGACCTTCCCGCTCCCTTCCCTGCCCTCCCCCATTTCTCAGCACACCAGAACCCCTCGTCCAACACCCCCCACTACCTCTGCCCGCAGACAAAGTGGGCTCTGGGCAGCTAAAGAGGTCACAAGCTGTAACAGCAACACGTTAGCTTAGCACCACAAATGCTCTGAGAGCCGCTAACGATAAATCCTTAATCAAGCCCTGTCCCTGTGGTTAACTGTTTTGCCTCCCGCCGTGACGGGGTGGGATGATTAACACCCCGCCATCTAAAATGGACCCAGGTGCTACGACTTCCAGAGGGTGGTGGCTGATTGAATGACTTTTTCTCAGCTGTCACAAAAAGCAGAACTACCAGAGGGCAGATCCAAGTGGCAGTTCAGAAACACAGCTGCACGTCCTGACTGTGTTTCCCAAGGCGAGGCAGCAGAACGGGCAGGGATGGCCAGAAGGGACCATTCCCTCTGCCACAGAGCCTGCCCTGGGCTCTCTGGAGTGCAAAGGCACCGTCCTCAGCCCCTCGTTTGTGCCCCCTCCAGCAGCTGAAGGCCCCAGGAACCACACCAGGGCTCCCTATGCTGCAGCAGCACCCATGCCAGCACCCTGACACCCACATGGGGTGCACCCCGGGCCTGCCCTCCCCAAACCACACCAGCCTCTGGTCAAGGATCGGCCTGGGAGGACCTGACCCTCCCTGCACACCTGAAAACGAGCCCATGGGCACCCCAGCTCCTGGGAGCCGGACCCCTCTACCTGCTCCCTGCTCTCTAGGCGCCCCAACCTCGGGGGCTGGGCTCCCCCCTCTCAACTCTGCAGCCTCCCCCCCCTTCCCACCACATTTCAACCCC